TCGTACTCAGATTGTAAATGTTGTGGCTTGGCTCTCAAACACACCGGTGTGCTGTACTAGTATACTACACTATACACTACACTATACACTATACTACTATACACTACACTACTATACACCACACTACACACGATACTATACACTACACTACTATACACTACACTATATACTACACTATACACTACTATACACTACACTACTATACACTACACTACTATACACTACACTATACACTACTATACACTACACTACTATACACTACACTACTATACACTACACTACTATTCACTGCACTATACACTACACTATACACTACTATACACTACACTACTATACACTATACACTACTATACACTACATTATACACTACACTACTATACACTACACTACTATACACTACACTATACACTAGTGCTGTACTAGTAACGAATTGGCACATTCCGCGACAACCTTACTAGTTGGCTGGTCGGGTGGTGGCGGGTTTAACGACACATTTATATATTTACGCGATCTCACCTGTAAAACATCTATTGTGGATGATATTGGTGGCGAAAGCCTACCACTTGTTGAACTGAGTGAACCCTTGTTTTTTTCTTCTTGGTTCTTTCGGTAAAGTCACGTAGAAGGGAAATAATAAAATAATAAAAATAAAACATATAAAAAAGATTCTCACGACGTTTCGGCCACAACGCAAGCAGCCGTCCTGAGGACATGTTTTATTTTTATTCATTTATTATTTCCCTCTATGTGACTTTACCGAAAGAACCAAGAAGATGAATCCCTGCAGTCACGAAAGCTCTAAATCGAAATTGAACCCTTATTTTGTTCGACACACATGGGGCTCTGGCCTTGCCGAACTATCCAATATTCCGAGCGATGTACAATGGGACTTCCCCAGTGCTCCTGCCCCAATACATTTTTTCCCAAAATAAGTTTCCACAAAAGCAACACTTACCGACGGTAACCAGCACTCCAGGCGAAGGAGGAGGATGTGGTGGGTTCCATGTGGAAGGTGATGGAGGTTGTGGAGGAGTGCTTAATGCACTTAATATGCACTTACTGTACTCTGTTCACTTTGTCATAAAATTATAACTTAAAGCACCTAATGACACTAACTTAAACTTCACGTGTTTACTTAAAGGCCACGTTACTCGACGCCTTTACACCACGTTACGCGCCGTCCGGCGACATCAGCTGATGTGGGGCATACTCTTTTTTGGTAAAGTCACGTAGGTAAAAATTAAAATTAATAAAAGTAAAATAAAAATAAAATAAAAATCACGACGTTTCGGAGGCAACACAAGCTTCCGTCTTCAGGTGGAACCGTCACAGCACGATAGCTGTATCAAGTACATCTTTACCGAAAAAACCTAACAATTATGAATCCTTGCAGTCGCGAAAGCTTCAAATCTAGAATTGATGTGGGTCACTTCACCGCTGACAGCGGTGTCTGCAGAAGAATATCCAGAGGCGGTGAAGTCACTGGCACTGGGGGCTCAATGCTGGTAGAACGCGGCTTAGGCCTGGGTGGCGGGGGCACGACTAGCCGCTCTCACGCGTTAATGCCGAAATTGGCCTGTTCGGTACAGAAATTCGGATTATGAATGCGCCGTGCAAGCCGAAAGCGCAGCCCTGTCGAATTAGCCCCGGTTACGAGGTGATCAAATACCGGCATAACGCGGTGTTTTACTCTGTATGCCTACTCACGCCCTACGTGAGGCTGAGCCCAGATTTCTTCGTAGGCTAGGGGCTACGATGAGGCGGCCGAAATTCTGGGTAACACGAAAAAACTGCACGCCGCAATGAAATCCAGCGCAAAGAATGGTAATCGATAACATATGCCACCACGTTCGTGGCCGCGCGGACCGTCGCACATATACGGGCCCTTGTGTCAATCACTGCTGGATGAGCGCCTCCCCGTGTGCGTGGCGGGTAGCGGGGGTTGTTTCGACCATACTTCACCACGCCGTGTTCCGTGCAAGCTGGCGAGAGCACACATCGTAGACCCGGAAACAGAGCCACAATGCACCTGGTTTGTACTCTGCTCGTGTTGTCTCTGTGTCTCTACTGTTGTCGCGTTTGTGTCTCTGCGCTGGTCGCGAAAAACTTCGCGACCTATAAACGTCGCCGTCGGGGTGAACTTGCGTGCGCGGGACGACCCGCCGGGAGCAGGGGGTGGGTGGGGTGCTCTTTAAACCTACCCGGCGCCCCCTTCCTTCCGTGCGTGCCCCGGCCGTGACCACCCATCGCCGGGCTGGTGGGGGGGGGTGGGCGGTGGTGGTGGCGGGGACGGGAGGTTTCGGTAAGGGGCGGGAGCCCGGTGGCTTGCGTGCGTTCCGGTGCAGCCTATTCGAACCGTTCAAAAGTTCACACTTTCTGCTGATGGTGTGGTTGGCCCTGTCGGCGGCGGGAGGCGGCGTTTCCTCCAAACTTTAAAAGCCTCGGGACCGGACGGGCTTACATTTTTTGTTTTAAGCTCCGTCAAAACCCACCCGCCCCCACAGCACGAAGCACGCGTGGCCTCTTCCCCGTTAAATCGGTAGGCCAGAAGTGAAATTATAGTTTAGTTTAGTTTTTCTCAGCGGCCCGGACAGTAGACATGAGGCCCGCGTCGTCGTTGAGACTAGTGCTAGTCGCCATTTACACAGCGGTGAAGAGTCCGCTCTTTGTTGGGATGTTCAGACACCGCCAGCGTGGGTTGTTAATGCGCACGTTTTAAAAATTCATCTTCTTGGTTCTTTCGGTAAAGTCACGTAGAAGGGAAATAAAACATAATAAAATACAATTCTCACGACGTTTCGGCCACAACGCAAGCAGCCGTCCTCAGGTGAAGAACAGGGCTGTCGGAAAGACAGCGTCTGAATGAACACCACCAAGCTTGGCAGTGTATATTTAAGCTGGGTTAGGGGAGGACACCTTTTTACCCAGCTTAAATATACGTTGCCAAGCTTGGTGGTGTTCATTCAGGCGCTGTCTTTCCAACAGACCTGTTCTTCACCTGAGGACGGCTGCTTGCGTTGTGGCCGAAAGGTCGTGAGAATTGTATTTTATTATGTTGCATTTTTTTTAATTATTTTCTTATTTCCCTTCTACGTGACTTTACCGAAAGAACCAAGAAGATGAATCCCTGCAGTCACGAAAGCTTTAAATCGAAATTTTAAAATTGTCAAAAAAAGTTTTTTCGTTAAGTTTGTCACGTGAACAGGACACGCCAGTTGGTTACGAGTACAGCACACCGGTGGGTTGGAGAGCACGTGACAAACCTTACTGGTTGGCTGTGTCGGGTGGTGGCCGGTTAAATGACGTATTTATATTTACGTGATCTAACCCAAAAAAACCGACATTATGCATGATATTGGTCGCGAAAGCCGACGTGTTGAACGTAATTTTCTTTGCCGGTCCCCGCTTTTAATCGGACGAGGATTCCGTTGGTAAATCTCTCGGAGCGGTGCAAAGCCCATCGCGGTTTCGCGAGCGGCCCACTGAAGCGGATATCGCAGAGCCACCTCTCAAGTCACTCCTCCTCCTGCTTCACGACGTGACCTCTGGTTCACACACAGAGTGGAGGGCGGCACTGCCCCACTCACTCTGACCGTCAAGTGAACGGTCGCGCCGATATTTTTAATTCGCGCGCTGGAAATGAGCCAAATTCAGTTGCGGAGCCAAATTTAATTTTGGCGGGTCCATTGCCTGAAGTCAGTCTTTGGTGATTCGGCTGCGACAATTAACTCACCGCATCGAAAACCCAGTTTTAATCACAACTTTGCCCGTGTGGTTCTGCGGATCTCCGCATGAGTGTGTGGGTCTCTGTGTGTCTCTGTGGGTCTCTGTGGGTCTCCGCATGAGTGTGGGTCTCTGTGGGTCTCCGCATGAGTGCGTGGGTCTCCACGTCAGAGGTCGCAAAACGGGTTTTGATTCTTTACCCGTACCCGTACCCGGCCGCACCAGGGTCGCAAACGGGTACCCGTACCCTACCCGATACCCGGCTACCCGTACCCGGCCGGGTATCGGGTAGGGTACGGGATTGCGACCTCTGGGATGAAGCCATGTTGCAGGCGCGGGTGGGTTGATTCTGGGAACTTGAATTGTGAGAAGAGACAAGACGTTGGGAAATGAGTGACAAACAGTTACTCACCAGTGACTCACGACCTACCCGTACCCGGCCGCACCAGGGTCGCAAACGGGTACCCGTACCCGGCCATGTACGGGTAGCCGGGTATCGGGTAGGGTACGGTATCGGGTACCCGATTGCGACCTCTGCTCCACGTCAGTCTATGTGCCTTCGCGAAAACTACGGCTCTCTGTCCGAGTCAACGGTGGCCGGGTTGAGACCTTCATCAGCTCGCTCCACCTGCGGTTACCCCGTTCTAACCACGGGCAGCCGAAAAACCGTGACTTGAATCCTTGATCGCAGTCAGCGGTGGCAGCGGCTCGGCATTGCCTATCTGATTCTCATATTCACAGTCCCACTTGCAGCATGTGCAACGCGTCCAATCAAATGTCAGGGATTATAAGTTAATGCTTCTTGAGCTTGGTGGTGGTTGCCAGGTGGTGGGAGTTTGAGTTTGATCCAAGGCCGCTGCATGCCGCAGTACACCTCTTAATGGACGTGTACGTGTGTCTTTCCACGACGCTGCACACGCACAGCCCCGTGGTCTATCCACTGCTGGGTGAGGGCCTCTCCACGCCTTCCACAACTGCGGGGGGTGGTTTGACCGTTCTCGGATCGCGCAGGGCATTGTGGGCCGTGTGAAATGAACTCGTGGGCCTTGCATGGCCCGTGGGCGATGTGAAATGAATTAATTGGCCTTATCTGGCCCGATGGCCATGTGAAATGAAGTAGTGGGCCTTATCTGGCCCATGGGCTGTATTAAATTATGAAGTATAGGACTTCATCTGGCCCATAGACCATATTAAATGATGAAGTAGTGAACTTGAACTTGAACGTGCTGCCCCCCCACCCTCCCCCACCACCACCCTCCCTGCCTCCCCTCCAGGGTCGCGCGTGTTCGCTTCCGGGGTGGAGGGGCCGGCGTGTGACCCCGCCCCGCGATGGCGCACCGGCTCTCGGCCCGCGCTGGCCGGGCAGCGGCGTGCTGGGGAGACAGCCAGCGGGGGGCCCGGGGACACGGAGGCCACGGGGGCCACGGGGGCTCCGGCGGCGGCGGTGGCGGCGGTAGCGGCGGCGGTAGCCCCCCGCCGCCAGCGTCGCCCGTTCTGTCCTCCGCGGCGGCCGCTTCCCTGGCCTTGATGGCTGCGGACGACAAAGCGATCGTCTTCGACTTCAAGACGATGGCTGGCGGCCACCTGCAGGTTGGTGGGGAGGGGGGTGGGGGGGGTGACGAGTTTGCGCGGCACGACTGGTTACCACCATCGGTTTGGCGCGTCGTAGGCTCTCGCGACCGATGTTATTCACGGTAAACGGTGATTTTTTTCACGATAAACGGTGATTTTTTTCACGATAAACGGTGATTTTTTTCACGATGAAGGTGAATTTTTTTTACAATCAGAATATTTCTTGTACAGCCCATTGGTCAGATAAGGCCCCACTACGTCATTCCATATGTCCCATGGGCCACAAGAGGCCCACGAGTTCGTTTCACACGGCCCACAATGCCCTGTGCGATCGAGTACGTTCAAGCCACCCCCCCCCCCACCGCGGTCATGGAAGATGTCATAGTGCAGGAATCCGATGAGCTATGAAGTTCCTTTTCACAGATGTCCGGTTCGGGGCACGGGGTAAGAATGTTACAACAAGAAACAATAGGAGTGCACAGTACAAGAAATGTGAACAAATCACCCAAACGCATACAAATGCAACACTGAACCATCCCCATCCGCTTAAGAATAAATACGTCAAGTCACTTAGAAGGGAAATAATAAATAAATTAATATAAAATAAATATAAAAACAATAAAAATTCTCCAGCAAGAAAATTTTCTTGCTGTGGATTTTACCTCTTGATGATGATTGCTTGTGTTGCAGTCGAAACGTCGCGAGAATTTGTATTGTTTAATATTAATATTATTTTATTATTTCCCTTCTACGTGATTTTACCGAAAGAACCAAGAATATGAATCCCTGCAGTCACGAAAGCTTTAAATCAAAATATAAATACGTCGCTAAACCCGCCACAATCCGATACGTGCGCAAAACATGCCGATTGGTTATTTCCGCTCACCGGTCGCGTGTTGGTGAGAGTAAATCCACGACATTAACAATTTGAGGACGACGTTTCGCCAATAATTACAGCTGGCATCAGGCGGCAGCCAGACGCGTGGAGTTCTCAAATAACGACACGTTTATATTTACACGATCTCACCCAACAAAAGCCTCTTGATGGATATTGGTCGCGAAAGCCTCCGTGTGAAACTTTACATCCTCGGTTATCGTCAAGGGGCCCATATAAGTCCCAGTGAAGTTATCATTTATCAGCCATGCTCCATCCACTGCTGGATGAAAGGCTGGCGCACCACGTGGTTCAGTATTTGAGCAAACTGGTGTAGGCCAATCAGTTTTAAAGACGATGCGTCATATCTTCTTGGTTCTTTCGGTAAAGTCACGTAGAAGGGAAATAATAAAATAATACAAATAAAACATAATAACATAAAATTCTCACGACGTTTCGGCCACAACGCAAGCAGCCGTCCTCAGGTAAAGAACAGGTCTGTCGGAAAGACAGCGTCTGAATGTCTTTCCGACAGACCTGTTCTTCACCTGAGGATGGCTGCTTGCGTTGTGGCCGAAACGTCGTGAAAATTATTTTATCATGTTTTATTTTTATTATTTTATTACTTCCCTTCTACGTGACTTTACCGAAAGAACCATGAAGATGAATCCCTGCAGTCACGAAAGAAGCTTTAAATCGAGATGCGTCATATGTTGTCTGAGCATGTTTGTGTTTTGCATGTTCACCACTGGTACCGTGTGTGGTTAATGCAGTCACTTGATGCCTCGCAAAAGCTCTCTTATTCGGTGCTTGAACATCTTTACCCGACCTTCTGTTTTATTCCCAGAAAGGGTAAAACTTATTCTTGTTTTTCACGAGATAGACAAACATGATAGACAAACAACTGCTTCACCACCACCGCCACCACCACCGCACGAGAAATCTAAAAGCAGTGCACAGATTTAAATCGGTGATGCGTAATAAGTTCCGTGTGGTGCGGGTTGGCTTGGGCAGACTCATTATTTTTTTCTTTTTAAGGATGATCGTCGTCCCAATTTTAATTCTGGTTATCGGAATGATTAAACGGATACACGGTGACCATTGCACCCGTGCCTGAACGGACACAGATTCATGGCAAAGTCTCGCCCGCAATCGCTCGCGTGGACGTAGGTTGAACATGTTTTTCACCGTGCGTAGCCATCCGCGAGTATCAGAGGTGCTGGGAGGGTAGAAGGTCAACAAACTAAACACAACAAGGAGCTGGGAAGAAATTATTTTTCAATCTAGGCGATTTAAAAGTCCATAGCTCCAGTGGCTTCCTAACAACGCTATAGTGTATAGTAGTTAATCAAAGAGTCGTGTAGTGTACTGGTAGGAACCCACTGGTTCCACCAGCCCACAGGGGATTATTGTGTCCGTCCGTCGTGCAGGGAGGGGCTGGGTGGGGAGGGAGGGGCTGGGTGGGGAGGGGAGGGTGGGGCTGGGTGGGGAGGGTGGGGCTGGGTGGAGGGTGGGAGGGGTGGGGCTGGGTGGGGAGGGTGGGGAGGGGCTGGGTGGGGAGGGTGGGGCTGGGTGGGGTGTGGGAGGGGTGGGGCTGGGTGGGGAGGGGCTGGTCACCCCGTGGTGCCCTTATAAAACTCAACGTTTAACCTACTCACGCCGGCTTGTGCCCGCCCTCACAGTCGGGCATATTTGCGGAATACACCACGCCGCCGTTGACCCTGCAGGCCATTGACCGAGCAACCCAACGTTCCTACCAGCTCCCTCCGCAGGAATGTGTTATAGTGTAGTGTATAATAGTGTAGCGTATAGGAGTTTGCATGTATATCAGACTTCTTTCGCACCGTACGTAGCCAACCGCCCTGATCGGCGGTGCGGGGGAAGGACAACAAACTAAACACAACAACAACAACAAGCAGTTGTAGAGAAATGAGTTCTCGCTCGAGATCAAGGGTCGGAAAACCTGCGACTCGTGATCCGGCGTGGAACCTGTCAGCGACGTGACTGGTTAAGGGACCGCCACCGTCTCCTGTTCACCACGCGGCATCGCGGCTCCTCTCCTGCTGTTGGCTTTTCCGACACGCTGACGTTGACCACCTTGAAAGTGCCGCTGCTCCGGTGGCCTCCTGACGCACGCCGGGAGGCCAGAGCGGCGTTCCAGACGGCCGCGTGGAGCGGCGCGCCGTCTGCCGGCGTGCGGCGTGGCGTGCCCCCCTTCTCCCCCCCCGGCCGGACTGCAGCAGCAGCTGCAGGAGGAGCGTTTGGAGCGAGTGAGATGAGAGCGGCGACGCGAGTCGCCGATGCGTTTACGCCAGAGGTCGCAACCGGGTACCCGATACCCGTACCCTACCCGATACCCGGCTACCCGTACCCAGCCGGGTACGGGTACCCGTTTGCGACCCTGGTGCGGCCGGGTACGGGTAAGGAATCAAAACCCGTTTGCGACCTCTGGTTTACGCCAAAAAAAGCGCCGCTCTAGAATGCGTAGAACCTGGAAGAAACCGGGGGGAGGGGCGCTGGGGGTGGCAAGAAAGAAGTAACCCGTTGTTTACAGTGACCATTTATTTTAAATTAATCGTGTTGTGCTGTCTGTGCTGTCTGTGCAGGTGCTGCATACGGACACGAACATGAAGGTACACAGCACCGCACACTCAGGGCCCCGTTCTTAATCACTCCTCACGGCTCATGGCTGTGGCTCCCGGCTGTAGCTCACGGCTGTGGCTCACTGCTGTGGCTCACTGCTGTGGCTAACGGCTGTGACTCGTGACTGTGGCTCACGGCTGTGGCTCACGACTGTGGCTCGTGACTGTGGCTCACGGCTGTGACTCACTGCTGTCGCTCACTGCTGTGGCTCGTGACTGTGGCTCACGGCTGTGGCTCACGGCTGTGGCTCACGGCTGTGGCTCACTGCTGTGGCTCACGGCTGTGGCTCACGGCTGTGGCTCACGGCTGTGGCTCACTGCTGTCGCTCACTGCTGTGGCTCGTGACTGTGGCTCACGGCTGTGGCTCACGGCTGTGGCTCACGGCTGTGGCTCACTGCTGTGGCTCACGGCTGTGGCTCACGGCTGTGGCTCACGGCTGTGGCCCACTGCTGTGGCTCACGGCTGTGGCTCACGGCTGTGGCTCACGACTGTGGCCCACTGCTGTGGCTCACGGCTGTGGCTCACGGCTGTGGCTTACGGCTCTTGACTGTGGCCCACTGCTGTGGCTCACGGCTGTGGCTCACGGCTGTGGCTCACGGCTGTGGCTCACGGCTGTGGCTCACGGCTGTGGCTCACGGCTCGTGACTGGCTCACGGCTGTGGCTCACGGCTGTGGCTCACGGCTCGTGACTGGCTCACGGCTGTGGCTCACGGCTGTGGCTCACGGCTCGTGACTGTGGCTCACTGCTGTGGCTCACGGCTCTAACCGCAGCCCATGCTCAAGCCCCTCGTTGGCTCCCAAAGGCGCGTGGGGGCAGGGGGTTGGCCGCCCGCGGCTGCTGCGAGAGCCGTGCTTGCGTGCGCCTCCTTAGCAAGGAACCTCTTCGTGACGTCAGTTACTCGAAGCGAACCGCCACCTTTTCGTCGTGTTCACGTCGCACCTTGCGGCTCTTGAGATGTTGAGGTTTTTTCTGGGCGGAATTCGAACACAAACTAATTGGCTCCTCTTGTTGATTTGGTAGCCGATGCCTTTCTAAAGCGGTGGGGGGGGGGGTGCTCGGGTAGAACGCGTCCCGGCAATGGTGGTGGCCAGCGCTAAGCCACGACGGAGGACGTTCACGGTGCGGAGATGGGAGCGATGAAATCGGCAACGTAGCAGTCGCTCGCTCACTCGCTCACACACCGCTCAGTCGCTCGACTCACTCGCTCACACACTCGCTCAGTCGCTCGCTCACACGCTCGCTCACAGACTGCGCTCACACACTCGCCTCAGTCACTCGCTCGCTCACTCGCTCACACACTCGCTCAGTCGCTCGCTCACTCGCTCACACACTCGCTCGGTCGATCGCTCGCCCGCTCGCTCACACGCTCAGACACTCGCTCAGTCACTCGCTCAGTCGCTCACACACTCGCTCGGTCGCTCGCTCACTCGTTCACACACTTGCTCGGTCGCTTGCTCACACGCTCGCTCAGTCGCTCGCTCACACACTCGCACGCTTACTCAGTCTCTCGCTCACACACTCGACTCACACACTTGCTCGGTCGCTCGCTCACTTGCTCATACACTCGCTCGGTCGCTCGCTCACTTGCTCATACACTCGCTCGGTCGCTCGCTCAGACGCTCGCTCAGTCGCTCGCTCGCCACGCTCGCTCACACGCTCGCTCAGTGGCTCGCTCGCACGCTCGTTCTGATGCACGCCCCCTACACGGGCAGCAGCAGAGACATAACTGGGAGTTGACGAATGCTTTTTCTCGACCGAATTCGAACAAAAAATAAATTGTCTCTTCGTGTTATTTTTGGTTGCCGACCATCTGGCCTCATGGATATCCCGAGCATGGCTGGGATGAGGCTTGGAACCGGCTCGGGTTAAGCCTTTCTTGTTCCGATGACTGTACGTGCACGTCGCTCCAGACTTAGAATGAACGTCACGCGTTTAGAGTACAGTGATCCCTCGTTTATCGCGGTTAATGGGGACCGGAACCCCTCGCGATAGGTGAAAATCCGCGAAGTAGGATTGGCCCCCTAGGAATTTCCGTATATGTGTGTGTGGGTAGCAGAATGTTTAAAATATGTATATTTATACTTTATATATATATATTTTACTTAAATCTATTTAATTATAAAACCTTAATATTATACATTCACTCTCTCTCTCATACGATACGTATTATGGTGTTCTACACTCACCAATGACAGTAGTATCTTGAGACTTGACTCCAGTAATGATGACGACGACGATGACGATGACAATGACGACGACGACAGACCTGTGCAGTTCGATGAATGTGATGATGAATGATGATGATGATGGTGTTACTGCACAGGTATAATGAGGCCTTTAAATCAGTTCGAAAAATCCGCGATGCACTGAGGCCGCGAAACCTGAACCGCGAGGTGGCGAGGGATTACTGTATTTGGAAATGACACATTTCCACGTGATCCGCCGCTTCGTCAAGCTGTCATTTGTGATGGGCAGGTGTGAAAGAGAGCTGCTACATAGCTCAGTCGGCCTTTTACCGGTAAAATAAAACATCTTTTTTATTTTTTTTTATTTTTCGTGTTGTGCCGCTCTTTGTTGTTAGGCACGAGTTCTGACCAGCACCGGATTAAGCTAGTTTGGGGCCTGTAGCATGATGTTATAAAGGGGCCCTCAATTAAAACAAGAAACGTTAATATTAAAACACATTTTTTACTTGCATAGCGAAGTAAATGTATTGTTTAATTTGCTTTACAGCCAGATAATACGACAAATTGCCCAGTCGTTCATAAAAGTTGCAGGGCAGTATAGTACTATAGTAATAGAGCAAGTGCAGCATCACTGAACCGGAATTGATAGCTTGTAAGCATTTAGCGCGGGGCCTTTGAAAGTGCGTGGCCAGTAGCTACTACACATGTAGCTACTACACGTGTAGTAGCTACATAAGTAGTAGCTACTACACATGTAGCTACTACACGTGTAGTAGTAGCTACATGTGTAGCTACTTTAGCTACTGGGATCATCCGGCACTGGTTCTGATGTTTCGCGTGCCTGGGTAGCTCCTTCTGTCGGAGCTTCTTTGAGAATTTCCAGGAGAGGTTTTGTTTATTCGAGAAGGATGGTGTCCTCGTCCTAATTAGATGTTTTCTTGTTTTTTTTGTTTTTTTGCAGAAGGATGATTCGAAGTCGGAACTTGACTTTGCAAACAGTGAGTGCCCAATTCATTTCGTCCTTGTAAACGGCGTTACTTCCCGTTGTAGCATTTCGCTTCCGCTCCGAACGCGTTCCCTGTGCGGCCACCTGATCCACAAATGGTGAATCGAGTGTGGCCGCCACTCTCAAACGACCGACCCACGTTGCAAGCACTCCCCTCTCTTTGCTTCTTGCAAGGAGTAACCGGCGAAATCCACCCTGCGTCTGAACAGACAATTGAGTGGATAACAACATCTAAAATTTCCATTTGAAGCTTTCGTGACTGCAGGGATTCATATTCTTGGTTCTTTCGGTAAAGTCACGTAGAAGGGAAATAATAAAATAATAAAACATAATAATAATAATAAAATGATCATCTTCTTCTTTCGTATGGATTCATAGCAGCAGATTAAATACGTCATTTTAGATGCTTCGGTAAAGTCACGTAGAAGGGAAATAAGAAAATGAAAAATTGTAAAATAAAATAAAATCATCTTTTTCTTTCGTATGGATTCAAAGCAGCAGATTAAATGTAATTTTATTATGTTTCATTGTATTATTTTATTATTTCCCTTCTACGTGACTTGACCGAAACATCTAAAATGACGTATTTAATCTGCTGCTATGATTCCATACGAAAGAAAAAGATGATTGCGCTCCCTGCGTCGGACCCCCCCCCCCCCGCAGATCTTCGTTGCGCAAGATTTTATTCGTATTGCCGGGTGTCGCTCGCTTTGCCACGACAAAAACAGCCAACTTCCCCTTCCCGTGCACGGCTGGATGCATCGCAGCTCACAACTCTGTGTCTGTTCAGATTAGCTGACGACGAAACGCCTCCGGTTGACGCGCGCGCCGCCGGATTGTGGAGTGGTTCCCGTCGCCGCTCGGATGATTTCACGGCATTTAGTTCGTGGCTCGGGGCACGTCACGAAACATCGAACAAAGTCGGCGGCCGCATCGCGCGTCTTCAGATGCGCTTCCGTGGCCGGCCGGGACGCTCTTTCCTTACGATGTTAGGGAGCTGAAGCTTTCGTGACTGCAAGGATTCATACTCTTAGGTTTTTTCGGTAAAGTCACGTAGGTAAAAAATTAACCCGTAAAAACAAAGTTTTTCACTATAAATCCTTTATATGCGTGGCGGCTAGAGTCCTCTCGTCCTCTGGCTTGAGATGGCTGCCACCTATGGGTCAGATGATTGCCTGCCACCATTAAGCAATTGGTAATTAAATATAAAAAAAAAATTCCTAAAAAGTGTAAAGTTATGGAAATTTTTTTTCACGAAAATAAATTGTCACGCACAACGAGTCTGTGTGCAAAATGTCAGCTCGATTGGATCACGGGAAGTGGGTTAAAAAATTACCGAAAAATTTGCACGGTCATAAGCGCGCAAGCAAGCAAGTGAACTTAATATAAAGGATTTAAAAAAATTATAATGAAATGTAATAATAATAAATGAAAATAACTCGATTAAATCACGACGTTTCGGAGGCAACACAAGTCTCCGTCTTCAGGTGGGGGACCGTCACAGCCAAATTTACTGTATCAAGTGAAGAGAAATCCAAGAGACAAGATCTTATATATACTGGTTCAGGGGTGGGGGAGGAGCTTACCTCTCCCCCCACGTGACTGCCACATGTAGATAAGCTCCTCCCCCCTCCCCTGAACCATTATATAAGATCTTGTCTCTGGGATTTCTCTTCACTTGCTACAGTAAATTTGGCTGTGACGGTCCCACCTGAAGACGGAGACTTGTGTTGCCTCCGAAACGTCGTGATTTAATCGAGTTATTTTCATTTGTTATTATTTTATTATTTTTTTTTTTACCTACGTGACTTTACCGAAAAAACCTAAGAGGATGTTAGGAATCGACTAAATCATTAGGCCTCCTTTGCTAGTACCAAAATATAATAATAGAGGGTTTTCCACTTTTTTCTCGCAACAAAACTGAAACCTTTTTTTACGAGGATTCATGTCTGCATTAACCACAATACCTGCAGTCAAATGAAAACAAAAAACCCCTATTATTATATTTTGGTACTGGCAAATGAGGCCTAATGATGTAGATGCTCACCCCGAGCCGTCATTACTTTGATAGTGCATCGTCTTTGAGCTGTGGACGCCTTTTGGCGTTCTCTGGTCGAGCACCAATGGGGTCGAGGCTCAAAAGAAAGCCTTCCCTTGGCGTGGACCAATCAGTTTCAAGGACAATGCATATATTATTAAAGTGTGTTTTTGTTTGCATTTTGTCCGCAAGTATTGTGGTTAATGCACATATGAATCCTTGTAAAAAGGTTTACATTTTATTGCCAGAAAAAAGGGGAAAAACCCCCTATTATGTTAGGAAGAGAATTGAGCGATATACTTTTAAATAATCTCGATTGACGAACTAAAATCTTTAGAACCGCTTGTTGTTGTGTTTAGTTTGGTTGTCCTTTCCCCCGCACCTCCGATTATCAGGGTTGGCCACGTACGGTGCGAAAGAAGTCCAACATCCACACTTACAAGAATCTGCCGCGTCCTCTTCCCCCTTAAACGCTGTCGCTCGATTTCGAGTTTTGAGTTGGATTTGTTGAACCGGGTTGGAACTCGAAAGACCAGATAAGATCTCAACAGAAAGAGAGAGGGGCTGCCTTTAGCGTGATAAGGGTTTAGCAGACAACTATGTCTCTCCTGGGCGGGGTTCTAGCCCCAGGGGTGTGGTGTGTTTTCCTTGCGCTAATTAGGACTACCAAATACCTTCGGTAGACAACCAAACGTAAAGACAAAGATCCTCCGTATAGCCGTAACAGATTGTTGGGGCAAGTGCTTGTCGGCGGGCACCTATGAAGGCTGGCAAGGCAGCCTTTGTCTCCTCAGTGGCGATGTCTACGCACTGCACCAGGTACTGATTTGAGGCTGAGTTGACCTAGGGGAGGCCCAGGACCAGTTCAGATAATCACCAGTGTTCACCAGTGAGCATGGTGTGACACACTCACACCATGCACACTCACTCTCAGACTCGCTGACACACTAATATCATGCACACTCACTCGCTCACTCTCAGACTCACTGACACACTCACATCATGCACACTCACTCACTCACTCTCAGACTCACTGACACACACACATCATGCACACTCACTCACTCTCGGGGCTCACTGACACACTCACATCATGCACACTCACTCACTCGCTCACAGACTCACTGACGCACACACATCATGCACACTCACTCACTCACTCTCAGACTCACTGACACACATCATGCACACTCACTCACTCGCTCACAGACTCACTGACACACTCACATCATGCACACTCACTCACTCTCAGACTCACTGACGCACACACATCATGCACACTCACTCACTCTCAGACTCGCTGACACACTCGCATCATGCACACTCACTCACTCACTCTCAGACTCACTGACACACCCACATCATGCACACTCACTCACTCTCAGACTCACTGACACACTCACATCATGCACACTCACTCTCAGACTCACTGACACACTCACATCATGCACACTCACTCACTCACTCTCAGACTCACTGACACACCCACATCATGCACTCTCACTCACTCACAGACTCACTGACACACTCACATCATGCACACTCACTCTCAGACTCACTGACACACTCACATCATGCACACTCACTCACTCACTCTCAGACTCACTGACACACTCACATCATGCACACTCACTCACTCTCAGACTCACTGACACACACATCATGCACACTCACTCACTCTCAGACTCGCTCACACTCACATCATGCACACTCACTCACTCTCAGACTCACTCACACTCACATCATGCACACTCACTCACTCACTCTCAGACTCACTGACACACTCACATCATGCACACTTACTCACTCACTCTCAGACTCGCTGACACACTCACATCATGCACACTCACTCACTCTCAGACTCACTGACACACTCACATCATGCACACTCACTCACTCACTCTCAGACTCGCTCACACACTCACATCATGCACACTCACTCACTCACTCTCAGACTCACTGACACACTCACATCATGCACACTCACTCGCTCACTCTCAGACTCGCTGACACACTCACATCATGCACACTCACTCGCTCACTCTCAGGCTCACTGACGCACTCACATCATGCACACTCACTCACTCTCAGACTCACTGACACACACATCATGCACACTCACTCACTCTCAGACTCACTCACACTCACATCATGCACACTCACTCACTCACACTCAGACTCACTGACACACTCACATCATGCACACACACTCACTCACTCTCAGACTCACTGACACACTCACATCATGCACACTCACTCTCAGACTCACTGACACACTCACATCATGCACACTCACTCTCAGACTCACTGACACACTCACATCATGCACACTCACTCACTCACTCTCAGACTCGCTGACACACTCACATCATGCACACTCACTCTCAGACTCACTGACACACTCACATCATGCACACACACTCACTCTCAGACTCGCTGACACACTCACATCATGCACACTCACTCTCAGACTCACTGACACACTCACATCATGCACACTCACTCTCAGACTCACTGACACACTCACATCATGCACACACACTCACTCACTCTCAGACTCACTGACACACTCACATCATGCACACTCACTCTCACACTCACTGACACACTCACATCATGCACACTCACTCACTCGCTCTCAGACTCACTGACACACATCATGCACACTCACTCACTCACTCTGACTCGCTGACACACTCACATCATGCACACTCACTCACTCTCAGACTCACTGACACACTCACATCATGCACACTCACTCACTCGCTCTCAGACTCACTGACACACTCACATCATGCACACTCACTCACTCACTCTCAGACTCACTGACACACTCACATCATGCACACTCACTCACTCTCAGACTCACTGACACACACACATCATGCACACTCACTCACTCTCAGACTCACTCACACTCACATCATGCACACTCACTAGCTCACTCTCAGACTCGCTGACACACTCACATCATGCACACTCACTTGCTCACTCTCAGACTCACTGACGCACTCACATCATGCACATTCACTCACTCACTCTCACTGACACTCTAACATCATGCACATGCTCGCTCACTCTCAGACTCACTGACACACTCACATCATGCACACTCACTCACTCTCAGACTCGCTGACACACTCACATCATGCACACTCACTCACTCTCAGACTCACTGACACACACATCATGCACACTCACTCACTCTCAGACTCACTCACACTCACATCATGCACACTCACTCATTCACTCTCAGACTCACTGACACACTCACATCATGCACACTCACTCACTCACTCTCAGACTCGCTGACACACTCACATCATGCACACTGACTCACTCTCAGACTCACTGACACACTCACATCATGCACACTCACTCTCAGACTCACTGACACACTCACATCATGCACACTCACTCACTCGCTCTCAGACTCACTGACACACTCACATCATGCACACTCACTCACTCACTCTCAGACTCGCTGACACACTCACATCATGCACACTCACTCACTCTCAGACTCACTGACACACTCACATCATGCACACTCACTCACTCGCTCTCAGACTCACTGACACACTCACACTCACATCATGCACACTCACTCACTCAGACTCACTGACACACACACATCATGCACACTCACTCACTCTCAGACTCACTCACACTCACATCATGCACACTCACTCGCTCACTCTCAGACTCGCTGACACACTCACATCATGCACACTCACTCGCTCACTCTCAGACTCACTGACACACTCACATCATGCACACTCACTCACTCTCAGACTCACTGACACACTCACATCATGCACACTCACTCACTCACACTCAGACTCACTGACACACTCACATCATGCACACTCACTCACTCTCAGACTCGCTGACACACTCACATCATGCACACTCACTCGCTCACTCTCAGACTCACTGACACACTCACATCATGCACATGCTCGCTCACTCTCAGACTCACCGACACACTTTCTCACACGACTGGCACTCACACTCTGCAGAACAGGCGGAAACCAAACCGTATAAGCGCCATGCGAAAGGCGCCCGAGTCTGGATTCTAACCCAGACTGTTGTAGCTCTTGAGGCGCGAGTGTAACGCCGTTGGTACCGCCCGTACCTCTGGCGCCGCGTCGGTGTGACGCGGTTAGCGCTACGAACCTGGCGGACTCGAGTTCGATTCCCGCTCACGGCCAACACCGGCGACGATTATCCAAACCGGTCCTGGGCCTCCCCTAGGTCGACTCAGCCTCAAATGAGTACCTGGTGCTGTGTGTAAACATCGCCACTGGGGGAGACAAAGGGAGGGTGGGTGGGTGGACGCGATGCTCGGCTACCCACCCCCACCCCCTCGTTCAAGTTCAAGTTTCATGTATTAGGTGTAGCCTTGTGAGCCATTCGGCTCTTGAATCGGGTGCAACCGCAACAAACGAAAAACAAAAACACGAACAAAAAACATCTTAAAGTGACTATGTGACTGAGTGCAAACAGAAAATCCAAGAAAAGACAGCAAAATATTGCAGAAAAAACACCGTACACAAAAAAGTGCAAAAATCCTCGTGCGCCGTTCCAGCCTTCACCGGTGCTGTTACTCTCTTAACAGCACTTGCCCCCACAGGTCCGCGGAGGCTACGCCGGGGGGAGCTTTGCCTTCATCTTTGTCCCGCGTGCCCGCCCCTCGCAGGCAGCGAGTACGAGTGGAGGCACAGGCCGCCCCCAAGGGGCGTCAGCAACCCCGAGGACTACGCGCTGTGCCAGAGGTGAGCCCCAGCGGCAACGCTTCCATCACCCCCCCCACGCTTCACTCCCCGCCAGAGGTCGCAAACGGATTTTGATTCCTTACCCGTACCCGGCCGCACCAGGGTCGCAAACGGGTATCCGTACCCGTACCCGGCCGTACCCGTACCCTACCCGTACCCGGCCGGGTACGGGTAGTGTACGGGTATCGGGTACCCGATTGCGACCTCTGGGATGAAGCCATGTTGCAGGCGCGGGTAGGTTGATTCTAGGAACTTGAATTGTGAGAAGAGACAAGACGTTGGGAAATGAGTGACAAACGGTGACTCACCAGTGACTCACGGCCTACCCGTACCCGGCCGCACCAGGGTCGCAAACGGGTACCCGTACCAGGCCGGGTACGGGTAGCCGGGTATCGGGTAGGGTACGGGTATCGGGTACCCGGTTATGACCTCTGCTCCCCGCCCAACCGATTTGTCCTCCCTCTGCCTCCCGCCGACGCCGCAGGTGATAGCGGAGCTCGCACAATCGTGTGCGAGTTTCTGACGATCGGGGAGGTTGGTGTGGGGGATTTGTTTAACACGTAGCAGCAGGCTTTCGCGACCAATATTATTCATAATAAAGGTTTTTGGGTGAGATCGCGTTATTTGTAAATGTGTCTGAAAATCCTGGCTCCGCCATTGCCAGGGAGGTTTGTCACGTGAACAACGCGCCAATTAGTTACTGCTGGATCGGGGGCGGGGGGGTTTCGTGATGCCCGATCGCTCTTTCGCCCATCGCGATTTTTTAAAAACAAAATTACGATAAACAGCAACGATATTGATTAAAGTCAAAATTAAAGAATATAAATTACGTGTCAAATTCAAATATGCTGACGGCTGCCAACGGCCGGCTGACACTCTCGCGGCTATGACATCACGGCACCCATCTTGCATGGCGGTTGCCTTCCTGGCAGCCGATTGGCCGCTGGTGCGGCCAGAGTGATGACATCATACCCCGGCAACCGTTGCCACGCCCCTAGACTCTTGCGACTTTGTATATTTGCGTGAATTGTCTTCACATTCTGTCTTACGGCCTTCTGGAGCCGTGTACAATTGCAGCCGGTCCGATTTTACGAGCACTTCCTGTCCTCGAAGCACTGGGCGGTACGGTGAACTTCTTTTGCACCGTACGTAGCCAACCGTGCCAATCTGGGGAAGGACAACAAACTAAATACAAATATCAGTCCTAAAAACATGAGTTTTCACCCGAGATTTAAAAGTTTGGAAGTGTGAGGCTACAGAACACGATTGCTATGATTGTTATTATCATTAAGTGCGGCTTTTGTTTAAAATCCGTAGTTTTGGAACGCTTTGACGTCATCTGCCGGACCGAGCCGCCCCTTTACCCCGCAGCTCAGACGCTGAGAGCTACTCGCAGAACTTCTCAGCTTCTCGGCTTGATGGGCTTTTACTCGTAGAGCGCCAAAAGCAACTCCCGGAGATTCCTCTTTCGATTTAAAGCTTCTTTCGTGACTGAGTTCGTTCTTTGTCGGCCGTCGTCGCGATCGCGACCGTCCTTGCCTCTCCATGTCGTCATCGCTACACCCCCCCCCCCCCCCCCAGGTTCCTGGAGCTGGGCTGGTGCACGCTGGGGCCCCAGTGCGACTGCGCGCATTCGGAGGCCGAGCTGGGCGAGTGGAGGCGGCGGCACGCCATCCGTGCCGGCGCGCGCGGCGATGGTGGCGCCGGCGGCGGCGGCGAGATGCCGTGCGGGGGGCAGGAGGCGGCGCTCGGATACTCGGAGAGCCTCATCGAGCGCTGGATGACGGCGCCCAATCCCGAGGCGGTGGTGAGTGGGCCGTCGTCGTCATTGTGGTCGCCATTAATGTCGTCGTTGTTGTTATCGACGTCATCGTCGTCATCGTTGTCGCCATTATTGTCGTCATCGTAGTTGTCGTTGTTGTCGTCGTCGTCGTCATCGTCGTCGTCGTCATCGTTGTCGCCGTCATCGTTGTCGCCGTCATCGTTGTCGCCATTATTGTCATCATCGTCGTTGTTGTCGTCATCGTCATTGTTGTTATCGACGTCATCGTCGTCGTCATCGTTGTCGCCATTATTGTCGTCATCGTCGTTGTTATCGTCGTCATCGTCGTCGTCGTCGTCATCGTTGTCGTCATTGTTGTTGTTGTCGTCGTAGTCATTGTTGTTGTCATTGTTGTTGTTGTCGTCGTCGTCATCGTTGTCGTCATTGTTGTTGTTGTCGTCGTCGTCATTGTTGTTGTCATTGTTGTCGTCATTGTTGTTGTTGTCGTCGTAGTCATCGTTGTCGTCATTGTTGTTGTTGTCGTCGTCGTCATCGTTGTCGTCATTGTTGTTGTTGTCGTCGTTGTCATCGTTGTCGTCATTGTTGTTGTTGTCGTCGTCGTCATTGTTGTCGTCATTGTTGTCGTCATTGTTGTTGTTGTCGTCGTTGTCATCGTTGTCGTCATTGTTGTTGTTGTCGTCGTCGTCATTGTCGTAGTCATTGTTGTTGTCATTGTTGTTGTTGTCGTCGTAGTCATCGTTGTCGTCATTGTTGTTGTTGTCGTCGTCGTCATCGTTGTCGTCATTGTTGTTGTTGTCGTCGTTGTCATCGTTGTCGTCATTGTTGTTGTTGTCGTCGTCGTCATTGTTGTCGTCATTGTTGTCGTCATTGTTGTTGTTGTCGTCGTCGTCATTGTTGTCGTCATTATTGTTGTTGTCGTCATCGTCATTGTTGTCGTCATTGTTGTTGTTGTCGTCGTCGTCATTGTTGTCGTCATTGTTGTTGTTGTCGTCGTCGTCATTGTTGTCGTCATTGTTGTTGTTGTCGTCGTCGTCATTGTTGTCGTCATTGTTGTTGTTGTCGTCGTCGTCATTGTTGTCGTCATTGTTGTTGTTGTCGTCGTCGTCATTGTTGTCGTCATTGTTGTTGTTGTCGTCGTCGTCATTGTTGTCGTCATTGTTGTTGTTGTCGTCGTCGTCATTGTTGTCGTCATTGTTGTTGTTGTCGTCGTCGTCATTGTTGTCGTCATTGTTGTTGTTGTCGTCGTCGTCATTGTTGTCGTCATTGTTGTTGTTGTCGTCGTCGTCATTGTTGTCGTCATTGTTGTTGTTGTCGTCGTCGTCATTGTTGTCGCCATTATTGTCATCATTGTCATCATCGTCGTTGTTGTCGTCGTCGTCGTTATCATCGGTAACTCCCTCGCCTGGTATGCAGGAAGCCGTGGGTTCGATCCCGACCCTGACGACCCCTGCTGTACATCTGGAGTTTGCGTGTCTCTCTCCCCGCGGTTGCGTGCGTACGTGTGTCTGTGTGTGGGTGCTCCTTTACAGCACTTGCCCCAACAGTCTGTTTGGGCTCTACGGGGGATCTTTGTCTTTGTGTGTGTGAACATTCCTCGAATTCGATTCACGCAATAACCGTGGCGAATATCTGAACGGGTCCCGGGGGGCCCTCCCCTAGGTCGACTCGGCATCAAATGAGTACCTGGTGCGGTGTGTTGGGGCGGGAAGGGGGAGTCACAAGGCGGTCGGGTCGGTGTGGTGCTGGCCGCCCAACCCCTCGTGGGTGTACTTAACTTGGAGCTTTCGTGACTGCAGGAATTACTCTGTGGTTCTTTCGGTAAAGTCACGTGTAAAGAGAATAATAAATTAAATACTAGCATACGACGTTTCGATTGCAACACAAGCAATCATCATCAGGTATAAATGAAATAGAAACACAAATCTAGTACACTTAGAAATGTGATACAACCGAGAGTCGGATAACATAACAGTCAATACCCTACCTGGTTGATTACGTTCTTCCCGAGAATGCTAAATTTGAGAGAGAGATACAACACAGAACCAGAGACATATAGACAGACATATAAGCAGAGACAGATATCACAGAGATACATTGAGAGAGAGACGTACATAGGCACACAGAGAATAACAGTCAACACCCTACCTGGTTGATTACGTTCTTCCTGAGAATGCAAAATTTGAGAGAGAGATAAAACACAGAACCAGAGACATATAGACAGACATATAAGCAGAGACAGATATCACAGAGATACATAGAGAGAGAGAGAGACGTACATAGGCACACAGAGGCGTGGTTTCTCTCTGTGCCTTGTGGTGAACATTCAAACAAATATGTTCTGATGATATATGCATTGTCTGTGAAACCGATTGGCATACACCAGAGACATCCTTCTTTATGGCCTTGTCTCACCTCTGTCTGTGTGTGTGCCACGGCATTCCGGCGAAGGCTGCGCGAGGTGGTGAGGGCGCATGGGTGAATCTGTCTCCTCTGCGTGTGTGTGCGTTCCCAGCTGAGCGAGTTTGTGGACGGGGTGGACGTGAGCCACTCGCAGGACCTGACGCTTGCTGTGAGCAGCAAGAGATTCAGCGCCACCTGGGAGTTCGCGCTCGCGTGCAAGGTAGTGGGGGGGGGGCACGTCCTACACCGCCGTCGCCGCCCTCGGGATCATTCCGCTGCTGGAACGCCGCCTCCGTTCTCTTGTCACCCACCCCTAACACTCCACGTCATCTTCTTGGTTCTTTCGGTAAAGTCGCGTAGAAGGGAAATAATAAAATAATAAAAATAAAACATGATGAAATACAATTCTCACGACGTTTCGGCCACAACGCAAGCAGCCGTCCTCAGATGAAGAACAGGTCTGTCGGAAAGACAGTGTCCATTCAAACACTGTCTTAGTCTTATTATGTTCATTCAGACGCTGTCTTTTCGACAGACCTGTTCTTCACCTGAGGACAGCTGCTTGCGTTGTGGCCGAAACGTCGTGACAATTGTATTTTATTATGTTTTATTTTTATTATTTTATTATTTCCCTTCTACGCTCATCTACTTCTGCGTCCTCTCTTTCTCTGTCCTCCCTCTTCCCTGTGCCCAATCGCCGTTTTTGTTATCAGCAGCGGCAGCAGCGTCATCGTTATCGCTGTTATCATCATCAACATCGCCGTCGTCATTATCGCCGTTATTGATATCATCGTCAGCACCCTCGTCATCGTCGTTATCGCTGTTATCATCATCAACATCGCCGTTATCGTTATCATCGTCATCGTCGTCGTCGTCATCGCTGTCTCCGTGTCCCTCTCCAGCCGCCGCGCTCCCTGCAGCGCGTGGTGCTGCTCTACGACTCGCACCGCCCGCACTTCCACGTCGCCTCCGTGGTGCCGCGCGACGACTCCGGCTCAGACGCCGCCCCCCCGGGCGACTCTGGCCGCCCTCCGACCCCGTGCGGCGGCGGCGACGACGCCGACTCGTCCGCCGCCCTCCACCGGCCCCCCAGCGGCCCCTCCGAGGCCTCGCAGGGCCCGGGGCGGCGACCGGACAGGGCGGCCGACGGCGTCGCGTCCGGAGCGGCGGGAGGCAGGCAGGAGTGGGCGGCGGGCGACGGCGATGACGGAGGAGGAGGAGGAGCGAGGGGAGCGTACCGCGTGAGCGTGGAGTTCTCCACGGATGTGTACGGCACGTTCCGCCAGACGGTGGTGTTCGACTTTGGCTGCTGGCCCGTGCTGGCGCGCAGCCTCACTGTGCACACGGCCGACACGCTGGGTGAGCAGCCGCGGGTTCTTTCATTTGATGAGTTTTTGTGTTTTCGGTTACCACGTGTGTCCCCCCCCCCACCACCACCACCCCGTGACATCCCCGTGTGTCGCTGTGTGTGCCCCCTTGCATCCCTCACGAATTTCCGTACGCACCCATGTGTCACTCATCTCCCCACTCCTCATCTCCCCGCTCATCTCCCCGCCCCTCATCTCCCCACTCATTTCTCCACTCATTTCTCCACTCATTTCTCCACTCATCTCCCCACTCATCTCCCCACTCCTCATCTCCCCACTCCTCATCTCCCCACTCATTTCCCCGCCCCTCATCTCCCCACTCATCTCCCACTCATCTCCCACTCATCTCCCCACTCATCTCCCCACCCCTCATCTCCCCGCCCCTTATCTCCCCACTCCTCATCTCCCCCCCCCCCCCAACTCCCACAGTGCCGAGCGCCGAGGAAGACCTGCAGCTGCTGTCGTGCGACTGGTGGGACGCCGGCAACCCGTCGGTGACCATCGTGGAGTTCGGCGTGCCCGTCGGGGTGCCCGCCGCGTTGATCCCCGCCGCGGGCTCCGCCGAGGAGGAGGGCGGCGTGCCGGGCCCCACCCAGCTGTACCGCGTGCCGGAGCTGCCGCTCGGCCTCTTCTCCAGCCCGGCGCTGCAGCGGCCGCTGCGCGCCGAGAACTACCGCCGGCGCTTCCACGACCTGCTCTACATCGAGGAGCTGGCGCAGTACAAGGAGATCAGCCGGTAGGGCGCGGATGCGTGGCACGTAGCGGCGGTGGTGGTGGTGGTGGGGGTCGGTGGTGGTGGGGGTCGGTGGTGGATGGAGGTGGTTTGGTCGGTGGTGGTAGCGGTGGCGGTGGTTTTAGTAGTGGTGGTGGTAGCGGCGGCGGCAGTGAAGGCGGCAATGGTGGAAGTGGCGGAGATGGCGGCGGTGGTGGCTGCGATGGCAGAGGTGGCAGCGGTGGTGGTGGTGGAGGCGGTGGTGGTGGTGGCAGCAGTGGTGGTGGAGGTGGCGGCGGTGGTGGTGGAGGCGGTGGAGGTGGTGGAGGTGTTGATGGTGGCGGCGGTGATGGTGGCGGCGGTGGTGATGGTGGAGGTGGTGGAGGTGTTGATGGTGGTGGAGGTGTTGATGGTGGTGAAGGTGGCGGTGGTGGTGGTGGTGGTGGAGGCGGCGGTGCTGGCACCTCGGGCTAGGCAGGGACTCGCGTTGTCACTTGTTGGTGGTGCTCGTGGCAAGGAGTTTGAGCCATCGCCACGCAAACTCCGCTCATCCTCGCGGCAGCAGCAGCACCACAGGCGGCAAACAAAGATGGCGGTCTCCGCATCATGGCGCGGCGCTTTCGGAGAAGCGCTTGTGCTGCCGTCTGAAATGCCGCTCTTCCTTCCGATATTGAGACTCACTGGAGCTACGTACTTTGAAATCATCATCTACATTGAAATCTCATTTCTTCTGAATTGCTTTTTTGTGCTTAGCGTGTGTGTGTGTGTGCGTGCGCTCGTACGCACAAGTTGGCGCAGTAGGAGGTACAGGTGGTGCATCGGCCAGTCATCTCGGTCAACCCGTGGCACCTGCTGGGTCTGTCCTGTGACCTCCTGCCAGCGGGCGTTTGACACTTCACGTGGCCTTAACGTGCACATAGCCTGGCACAAGTGCTGTAGTGACGTCACCGCCACCTAGTGGCGAATGGTGGTTGTAGTTGTACACGCGTGTGTGTGTTTGTGTGCGCGTTCACGTGTGTGTGTTTGTGTGTGTGTGCGTGTGTGTGTCTGCGTCTGTGACCAACTTCGATCTCGGGAGCTAAGCACGGCCGAACCTGGGCCGACCGTCATGCACAACAAGCCATTAGCACGCCATTAGAGCTGTGCACTTTTAAATAATCCAGAGTGACAAACTAATTTCTTTAGAACAGCTTTTGTGTTTAGTTTGTTGTCCTTCCCCCCGCACATCCGATTAGCGTGGTCGGCTAAGTGCGGTGCGAAAGAATTTCAACGTACACACACACACAGCACGGGTTGGCTACGTATGGTGTGAAAGAAGTTCAACATACACACACACACGTCCCCGGCAAGCGCGCACTTCTGTTGGCTGTGAACCGTGATCACCGCCATCGTCATCATCACGGTCCACGGGGCAGACAGACCCCGCTATTCGTTCGTTTCTGCTCCCCTTGGCCCCCCCCCCCCCCCCCCACACGATGCGCAGATCGAAATCCAATCGGCCCCTTCGCTGCGTCTTGCCGGTTAGAAACGTGCCCCGCGCCAACAGGCGGCACTTGTATCTGTGTCGCCGACGCAAAGGGCGGGCGGACGGACGGACGCGGCCGCCGTCGCAGGCGTGGCCGCACGACGGGGCTCAGCGCTCCCTCGCCGGCCGCGCGTGACGATCGAACGGGCCAATAGCCGCGACACCCTCCTGCCGCCCCCGTGTCCCCAGGTTCAACATCCGCGCCGACCTGCAGCTGGTGCGCAGCTACATGCTCACGGGCACCTCGGGCGGCGCCAAGTTTGCGCAGGGCGGCGAGCTCTTCGCCCGCTTCCGCCTGGGCCGCAGCCTGTCGGAGGACACGGCGCACGGCCGCCTGCTCACCACCAGCGTGGGCACCGTGCTCCTGAGGCCCGTGTCGGTGGCGCGGCCCGGCGCCGCCGGCGCCACCGCCGCCATCGCCACGGACACGACGGAGGACCACGACGCGGCCGCTCGGCGGCTGAGCGAGGACGGCTCGCTGGAGATTGAGGAGGTCGTCCGGCACCATCACCACCTGCAGCAGCAGCATCTGCTGCAGCTGCAGCAGCAGCAGCAGCAGCAGAGGCAGCAGATGAACGACAGGGGCTGGCTGGAGAAGGCGGCGGCGGTGCCGGCGATGGTGCCGGCGATGGTGGAGGATGAGGAGAGCAGGCGGGCGAGGCGCTTGGGGCTCAAGGTGTACCAGGCGATGATCGAGGAGAAGACCAAGGAATACGTGTTCCTGCGCATCTCGCGCCAGTGCTGCCAGGAGCTGGGGCTGCGCGCCGACCAGCAGATCAAGGTGGGAGCGGCGACGGTGGGCGGGGGGCTGAGCGAGAGAGAGATAGAGGGGGGGCGGGGGGGGGGCGGGGGGGGGGGGGGGCACGGGCACCCCCCCCCCCCCCCCAGAAGCTTCGATAATGCAGAGGCGGTGTCTGTCGGTGGGATTACCGCTGCACCGTTCACATTTAGTTCTTTTGAGCCGGTGGTGTGGATAAGGCTGAGAGCTTTTGTACATGCCATGTGCCGTTCCGGTCTGTTTGTTTGGGACTTTTGCATTCGTTTGTTTCGCGTCGATTTTGTCGAGCCCGGCTACCCGAGTTCGATTCACACTCACGGCCAACACCGGTGACGGTTATCTGAACCGGTCAGCCTCAAATGAGTACCTTGTGCAGTGTGTAAACATCGCCACTGGGGAGACAAAGGCGGCCGGGCGTGGTGTTGCCCACCCACCCCCTCGTGTGCCGTGCCGGCCTTCATAGGTGCTGCTCGCTAACAGCACTTGCCCCTACAGTCTGTTAAGGCTACACGGGGGATCTTTGTCTTCGCGGTCCCAACGTCGGAGGGCATAGGAGCGACGCTCACAACAATAAGCGGAGCGCCGGGCGGCTAAAACACAGCAAGTTGACATACTATGGGGTCACGGCCGGTGCATCTGCGAGTCATCTCAGTCGGTCGACCCATGGCACCTGCTGGGGTCTGTCCCGTGACCTCCGACGTGCACACAGCCTGGCACGAGCGCCGCGGTGACGGCCACTGAGCGGTGGTGAATGGCGGCCGCCGCTGTTGTAGTACGGAGTTAGACTGATGGCCTTAATCTAAGTTGTCTTGTGGTTGTTGTTGTTGGTTTGACTTGCATCCCACTGGGATTTTTGCACACAGCGTTGGTGTGCGGTGCTTTTCCTGCAATATTTTGCTGTCTTCTCTTGGATTTTCTGTTTGCATTTAGTCACATAGTCACTTTAAGATGTTTTCTTGTTCATGTTTTTTGTTTGTTGCGGTTGCACCCGATTCAAGAGCCGAATGGCTCACAGGGCTATCTCCAGATATATATAAAAGGCAAAGTTGTGATTATGTGTGTCTATTAGAAAAGTTTAGCGTACTTCCCGACATGCAACAAACTGGAAATTTGCCATGTGGGTATTTTCCAGACTGCACGGCAAGTGAGCTGTGACGTCACATCTGTCATGTGACCTGCTCACGTGGAAGCGTAACGCATTGTAGTGTAGCGGTCAGCGCGCCGCGCTACGAATCCGGCGACCCGAGTTCGATTCCCGCTCACGGACAACACCGGTGACGGTTATCTGAACCGGTCCTGGGCCTCTCCTAGGTCGACTCAACCTCAAACGAGTAACTCGTGCGGTGTGCGAACATCGCCGGGCGAAGCCGGGTAGTACAGCCAGTAGCTAATCAATTAAAACTGAAAACTGAAGCGAACTGAAAGCTGTCGTCCCGCTGTGTGCCCGCAGGTGGAGCTGCAGTTCCAGCTGAACCGGCTGCCGCTGTGCGAGATGCACTACGCCGTGGATCGCATCCCGGAGCCCGCTCTGCTCTTCCCCGTCGTCGCCACCCCGCCTGTCATCCCCTGGGGCCCACACAGGTCGCCACCCCCCCCCCCCCCCCTCTTTTAGATTTCTGCTCACCACCCCCGCCCCCGCCCCCCCCCTCCGAGCGCGTCGCGGTCACTGCCCCGCAGATCGACGCAACGACGCTGTCGCTCCGTCTCCGCAGTGGACGTGCCTGCTCCTCTGCTTGCTCCTACTCCACCTCCTCCTCCTCCCTCTCCTCCTCCACCCCCCCCCCTCCTCCACCTCCTCCTCCTCCTCCACCTCCTCCTCCCTCCCTCCCTCCCTCCCTCCTCCTCCACCTCCTCCTCCTCCACCACCACCACCTCCTCCTCCTCCTCCTCCTCCTCCTCCACCACCTCCTCCCTCTCCTCCTCCTCCTCCTCCACCACCTCCTCCCTCTCCTCCTCCCTCCCTCCCTCCTCCACCACCTCCTCCCTCTCCTCCTCCTCCTCCTCCTCCTCCTCCTCCTCCTCCTCCTCCTCCTCCTCCTCCTCCTCCTCCTCCACCACCACCTCCTCCCTCTCCTCCTCCCCCTCCCCTCCCCTCCCCTCCCCTCCCTCCCTCCCTCCCTCCCTCCTCCACCTCCTCCTCCTCCTCCTCCTCCTCCTCCTCCTCCTCCACCACCACCTCCTCCCTCTCCTCCTCCTTCTCCTCCACCACCTCCTCCCTCTCCTCCTCCTCCTCCTTCGACTGCCGCTCCGTCGTTAGTCTCGACCGCCGGCCGTTGTTCCTTTCCGGCCGCTACGCGATGTGCCCCCCCCCCCAATCCCGGCTCAGTCTTCCTAATTAGTTGTGATGGTGTCCTCTAGAACCCCACCCGTGTTTGTTTTCTAGTTCTCACACACACGCAGTTCTTAAGAAATTAGTTCTCGATGGAGATAAAAAAATCACGCTTCTCTCTCTCCACGCACCTTTGAATCCTTTGTTCGTCGTTCGTCATTGAAGCGACCGTGCTTCTGAACCCCTCACGCCGTCGCCAGAGTTATAACGGCGGTCAATTTTAACGCGCTGTCACGGCGGCGAGATGTTAACTACCTCGCCTGGTGTACAGGAGGGCGTGGGTTCGATCCCGACCCTGACACCTGCTGCTGTATATTTGGCGTCTGCGTGTCTCTTTCATCATCATCACGGTGGCTCGGAGATTTAGATTTAAAGCTTTTGTGACTGCAGGGATTCATCTTCTTGGTTCTTTCGGTAAAGTCACGTAGAAGGGAAGTAATAAAATAAAAAAAATTAAACAGAATAATTACTTTATTACATAATAAGTATTTTATTATGTTTTATTTTTATTATTTTATTATTTCCCTTCTACGTGACTTTACCGAAAGAACCAAGAAGATGGCTATGAGATGTTAACTACCTCGCCTGGTGTACAGGAGGTCGTGGGTTCGATCCCGACCCCTGACGCCTGCTGCTGTATATTTGGAGTCTGTGTGTCTCTCCCTCCGTGGTCGCGTGGATTGTTGTTCCGGGCCCTCCGGTTTACAACCTCCGCATTCCGAATCAACGTCACGGCGTTCGGAGTTGTTTGTCTGCTGCTCAACATTTGCGCACGACGTTGACGATAAGCCCCCCCCCCCCCCCCCCCCCCCCGAGCGCAGGCAGTGGGACGACCAGCTGGACCCGCGTCTCAACGCCAAGCAGAAGGAGGCCGTCCTGGCGGCGACGTCGCCGCTCGCCGTGCCCCTGCCGCCCGTGCTGCTGCTGGGCCCCTACGGCACGGGCAAGACGTTCGCGCTGGCGCAGGCCACCAAGCAGGCGCTCAGGCAGCAGCACACGCGGTACGTACCTCTGTACGTGTGGTACGCGGCACGTACGTATGTCTGTACGTGTGGTACGCGGTACGTACGTATGGTACGCGGTACGTACGAACGTCTGTACGTGTGGTACGCGGTACGTACGTACCTCTGTACGTGTGGTACGTGGTACGTACGTACGTCTGTACGTGTGGTACGTGGTACGTACGTCTGTACGTATGGTACGCGGTACGTACGTACGTCTCTACGTATGGTACGTGGTACGTACGTCTGTACGTATCGTACGTGGTACGTACGTCTGTATGTCTCAGAAGTGGCTCTACGACATCCGCTTCCGTGACGTCGTTCTCGTAGCACGTTTTTCCTGCGACAGATCCGAACCGATTCCGCGTCTCGTTTGACGACCCCGACGCCGCCGCGCTGCGGCCGCGGAGAGAGGTGTCACACTTTTTTAAATGCCCGTGTGCCGTCTCCCGCTCTCGCTCACCGCCGCCAAACCTGTCCGCCCCGCAGGATACTCATCTGCACGCATTCCAACAGCGCGGCCGACCTGTACATCAAGGACTACCTCCACCCGCACGTCGAGAGTGGTAATCCCGAGGCCAGACCGCTCAGGTACGGCAATCCACTGGGCGCAAGTGCGGGGAATCTGCGGCCCCGCGGCCAAGGCTTCGTACGGCCCGCGATGTGGATTTGAGCAGCCCGAGTATGCGCAGAGCGCTGGCCTGCAAAATGAGCACGATTGCAATCTGTGTTGCTGTATGGTGAGCACGTGTGGCGAAGCGATGTCCTTCTGTGTGTGTTTACAAGAGCGGGAGCGCCACGCGGCTGAAATGCAGCAAGTTGGCATAGTCGGGGGTGCAGCTGGTGGTGCATCTTCTTAGTTCTTTCGGTAAAGTCACGTAGGTAAAAAATGAAATGAAAATTAATAAAAATAAAATTATTGATTTTAATTTCATTTTTTACCTCCGTGACTTTACCTGAAAGAACTAAGAATATGAATCCTTGCAGTCACGAAAGCTTCAAATCTAGAATTGGTGGTGCATCTACCGGTCATCTCAGTCAGTCGAATCAGGGCACCTGCTGGGTCTGTCCCGTGACCTCCTCCTGCACCTAGCCTGGCACAGCAGGGGGGGGTACAGCTGGTTGTGCATCTACCGGTCATCTCAGTCAGCTGAACCATAGCACCTGCAGGGTCTGTCTCGTGACCTCCTCCTGCACCTAGCCTGGCACGGTAGGGGGTACAGCTGGTGGTGCATCTACCAGTGGTCATCTCAGTCAGTCGAACCAGGGCACCTGCTGGGTCTGTCCCGTGGCCTCCTGTCAGCGAGCCTTCGACACTTCACGTGATAACCTCAAAGTGCACCTGGCCTGGCACAGGCGCCGTGGTGACGTCACCGTCACTTGGTGGCGAATGGCGGGTTTTGGTATTATTACTGGTGTATCGGTATTGGCACAGTGTATCTGCGTTGCTACGCATGTGTACGCGTGTACACGTGGCGAACCTACGTTGCTATGTGTGTGTGTACACGTGGTGTATCTGCGTTGCAGTGTGTGTGTGTGTACACGTGGTGTATCTGCGTTGCAGTGTGTGTGTGTACACGTGATGTTCCTACGTTGCTACGCGTGTGTACACGCGGTGTACCTGCGTTGATGCGCTGGTGCGCGTGCTGTGTGCAGGGTGTACTACCGTCACCGCTGGGTGAAGAGCGTGCACCCGGTGGTGCAGCAGTACTGCCTCATGTCGCCCTCGCGCTCCGAGTTCCTGCCGCCCGTGCAGGAGGACGTCCTCAAGAGCCGCGTGGTCGTCACCACGCTCAGCACGTCACGCACGCTGTGCCAGCTCAACCTGCCCGCGGGTACACACACACACGCACACACACACACACACTTACACACACGTACACACACACGCACACACACACACAGACACACGCACACACGCACACACACACTGTGCCAGCTCAACCTGCCCGCGGGTACACGCACACACACAGACACGCACGCACACACGCACTCACGTACACACGTACAAACGTACACACACACGCTCAGCACGTCACGCCCACACGCACACACACACACACACGCTCAGCACGTCACGCACCCTGTGCCAGCTCAACCTGCCCGCAGGTACACACACACACGCACACACACAGACACGCACACACGCACTCACGTACACATGTACAAACGTACACACACACGCTCAGCACGTCACGCACACACGCACACACACACACACGTACACGTACACACAGACACGCACACACACACGTACACACACGGACACGCACGCACACACTTACACACACGTACACACACACGCTCAGCACGTCACGCACGCTGTGCCAGCTCAACCTGCCCGCGGGTACACGCACACACACGCACTCACGCACGCACACACGCACACGCACGCACACACGCACACACGCACACACACGCACTCACGCACGCACACACGCACACGCACGCACACACGCACACACGCACACACACGCACTCACGCACACACGCACACGCACGCACACACGCACACACGCACACACACGCACTCACGCACGCGCACACACACGCACTCACACACACACACACACACGCTCTGCCAGCTCAATTTGCCCGCAGGAAACCACAAAAAGAAAAAGATCCCCCGTATAACCTCAACAGACTGTAGGGGCAAGTGCTGTTAGCGAGCAGCACCTGTGAAGGCCGGCACGGCACACGAGGGGGTGGGTGGCCAGCACCACGCCTGGCCACCTTTGTCTCCCCAGTGGCGATGATTACACACCGCACCAGGTACTCATTTGAGGCCGAGTCGACCTAGGGGAGATCGCAGGGACCCGGCTCATGACGATCGTCACCGGCGTTGGCCGCGAGCGGGAACGGAACTCGGGCCGCCGGGTTCGTAGCGCGGCGTGGCGCTAACCGCTGCGCCGCCGCTCCCCCCCCCCCACCACACAGCTCAGGCTCGCGGGGGACCTCGTGTCTCACCCCCCCCTCCCCCCCCCTCCCCCCTCCCCCCTCCCCCCCCCATCCCCCCCCCCCCCGCGGCGCAGGCTTCTTCACGCACATCCTCATCGACGAGGCGGCGCAGGCGATGGAATGCGAGACCATCATGGCGCTCGCCCTCGCCACGTGCGACACGCGCATCGTGCTCGCCGGGGACCACATGCAAGTGCGTGACCTCGCGTGACCTCGTGTGACCTCACGTGACCTCCTGACCCCCCACTGCCCTCTCAAACCCCCCCTCTCCCTACCCCCCGCTCCCTCCCCCCCTCCCCATGTCCACTCCCGACTCTGTGCGTCTTATTCTTTCCGCGACCTCCGACCTGTCCCACCTTGGGGTTCCGCGTGTTTGCTGTGTTGCAAGCCCAGTCACGTGCCCTGCAGGTGCACTTGGGTGCAGAGGGCAGTGGAGTGAGGTGAGAGGGGAGAGGCAGGAGAGTGCGTGGAGGGGAGTAGAGCGAGATGAGAGGGGAGAGGCAGGGGAGTGCGTGGAGGGGAGTGGAGTGAGGTGAGAGGGGAGAGGCATGGGAGTGCGTGGAGGGGAGTGGAGTGAGGTGAGAGGGGAGAGGTAGGAGAGTGCGTGGAGGGGAGTAGAGCGAGATGAGAGGGGAGAGGCAGGGGAGTGCGTGGAGGGGAGTGGAGTGAGGTGAGAGGGGAGAGGCAGGGGAGTGCGTGGAGGGGAGTGGAGTGAGATGAGAGGGGAGAGGTAGGAGAGTGCGTGGAGGGGAGTGGAGTGAGGTGAGAGGGGAGAGGTAGGAGAGTGCGTGGAGGGGAGTGGAGTGAGATGAGAGGGGAGAGGCAGGGGAGTGCGTGGAGGGGAGTAGAGTGAGATGAGAGGGGAGAGGTAGGAGAGTGCGTGGAGGGGAGTGGAGCGAGATGAGAGGGGAGAGGCAGGAGAGTGCGTGGAGTGGAGGGGAGTGAGATGAGAGGGGAGAGGTAGGAGAGTACGTGGAGGGGAGTGGAGTGAGATGAGAGGGGAGAGGTAGGAGAGTGCGTGGAGGGGAGTGGAGTGAGATGAGAGGGGAGAGGCAGGAGAGTGCGTGGAGGGGAGTGGAGTGAGGTGAGAGGGGAGAGGCAGGAGAGTGCGTGGAGGGGAGGGGAGTGAGATGAGAGGGGAGAGGTAGGAGAGTGCGTGGAGGGGAGGGGAGTGAGATGAGAGGGGGAGGTAGGAGAGTGCGTGGAGGGGAGGGGAGTGAGATGAGAGGGGAGAGGTAGGAGAGTGCGTGGAGGGGAGTGGAGTGAGGTGAGAGGGGAGAGGCAGGAGAGTGCGTGGAGGGGAGTGGAGTGAGGTGAGAGGGGAGAGGCAGGAGAGTGCGTGGAGGGGAGGGGAGTGAGATGAGAGGGGGGAGGTAGGAGAGTGCGTGGAGGGGAGTGGAGTGAGGTGAGAGGGGAGAGGCAGGGGAGTGCGTGGAGGGGAGTGGAGTGAGATGAGAGGGGAGAGGTAGGAGAGTGCGTGGAGGGGAGTGGAGTGAGATGAGAGGGGAGAGGTAGGAGAGTACGTGGAGGGGAGTAGAATGAGATGAGAGGGGAGATGTAGGAGAGTGCGTGGAGGGGAGTGGAGTGAGATGAGAGGGAGATGTAGGAGAGTGCGTGGAGGGGAGTGAGATGAGAGGGGAGAGGCAGGAGAGTGCGTGGAGGGGAGTAGAGTGAGACGAGAGTGGAGAGGCAGGAGAGTGCGTGGAGGGGAGGGAGGGGAGTGAGATGAGAGGGGAGAGGTAGGAGAGTGCGTGGAGTGAGGTGAGAGGGGAGAGGCAGGAGAGTGCGTGGAGGGGAGTGGAGTGAGGTGAGAGGGGAGAGGCAGGAGAGTGCGTGGAGGGGAGTGGAGTGAGATGAGAGGGGAGAGGTAGGAGAGTGCGTGAAGGGGAGTGGAGTGAGGTGAGAGGGGAGAGGCAGGAGAGTGCGTGGAGGGGAGTGGAGTGAGGTGAGAGGGGAGAGGTAGGAGAGTGCGTGGAGGGGAGTGGAGTGAGGTGAGAGGGGAGAGGTAGGAGAGTGCGTGGAGGGGAGTGGAGTGAGGTGAGAGGGGAGAGGCAGGGGAGTGCGTGGAGGGGAGTGGAGTGAGGTGAGAGGGGAGAGGTAGGAGAGTGCGTGGAGGGGAGTGGAGTGAGGTGAGAGGGGAGAGGTAGGAGAGTGCGTGGAGGGGAGTGGAGTGAGGTGAGAGGGGAGAGGTAGGAGAGTGCGTGGAGGGGAGTGGAGTGAGGTGAGAGGGGAGAGGTAGGAGAGTGCGTGGAGGGGAGTGGAGTGAGATGAGAGGGGAGAGGCAGGAGAGTGCATGTGATTCTTCGTGCCTGAAAGCTTCCCGGATTTTCACGATTATTTTCTCGACGCTCCTTACTTTGGGCTGTGTGGCCACAGCTTTGGAACGAGATGTCGCAATCACCACGATGCGCACATCCCTGCAAGTCCATCCTCGCAGCCTTTGCTTCAAATGCGCCCCTCCCCTCCCCCCCCAAATCTTCAGAATCCGGTCAAGGGACTTGGTGATTCCTCTTGTCGTGCGGCGTCTGCCCCTCTTGTCGTGCAGCGTCTGCCCCTCTTGTCGTGCAGCGTCTGCCCCTCTTGTCGTGCGTCGTCTGCCCCTCTTGTCGTGCAGCGTCTGCCCCTCTTGTCGTGCGTCGTCTGCCCCTCTTGTCGTGCAGCGTCTGCCCCTCTTGTCGTGCATCGTCTGCCCCTCTTGTCGTGCAGCGTCTGCCCCTCTTGTCGTGCGTCGTCTGCCCCTCTTGTCGTGCAGCGTCTGCCCCTCTTGTCGTGCGTCGTCTGCCCCTCTTGTCGTGCAGCGTCTGCCCCTCTTGTCGTGCGTCGTCTGCCCCTCTTGTCGTGCAGCGTCTGCCCCTCTTGTCGTGCGTCGTCTGCCCCTCTTGTCGTGCAGCGTCTGCCCCTCTTGTCGTGCGTCGTCTGCCCCTCTTGTCGTGCAGCGTCTGCCCCTCTTGTCGTGCGGCGTCTGCCCCTCTTGTCGTGCAGCGTCTGCCCCTCTTGTCGTGCGACGTCTGCTCCAGCGATTTGACAAAATGTTCCGTCGGCGGCATTCCCAAAGCCTCTTTCGGTTTTGAACGCCGCAATTTTTCAGCCCTTCGCCAAATTGCTATCGAATTGCTCCGAACGGCGGGACGTACCCCCCCGATGCATCTTCGTACTCGCTGATGGCAAACGACAAAGACAAAGATCCCCCGTGTAGCCTGAACGGACTGTTGGGGCAAGGGCTGTTAGCGAGTCGCACCTGTGAAGGCCGACACGCCCGGCCGCCTTTGTCTCCCCTGTGGCGATGTTTACACACTGCACCCAGGTACTCATTTGAGGCTGAGTCGACCTAGGGGATGCCCAGGACCGGTTTAGATAATCGTCACCGGTGTTGGTGGCCGTGAGCGGGAATCGAACTCGGGTCGCCGGGTTCGATTCCCGCTCACGGCCACCAGCACCGGTGACGATTATCTGAACCGGAGTCAACCTGAAACGCCATGAGGGAGACAAAGGCGGCCGGGCGTGGTGCTGGCCACCCACCCCCTCGTGTGCCGTGCCGGCCTTCACAGCTGCTACTCGCTAACAGCACTTGCCCCAACAGCCTGCCACAGGCTATACGGGGGGTCTCTGTCTCTGTCCCCGCAAACGCGCACGCGCGCGCGCGTCACAACAATGTTTTTTTGTTTTTTCCGCCGTTGAAGCCGCTGAATGCCTTTTAGCGGGACACTCACGAAATGCGAAAACGACTTCTGTTTTGAAAAATTGGGGAACGAAGAGCGGGGGGTGGGTGGGGGGGAACGTCGTCGTTGTCGTCGCTGAAAAAGCAAAAAAAACAAATAAAAATAATGTTTGTGTCGAGCGTCGTGGTGGCGCACGGTGGCCGGCGGGGGTGGGGGGGGGACGGGGGCTGCGGGGGGGAAGTTCGATCCCCGCTTGTCCGTGGCCGCGAGCGCTGATTACACGACCGCCACGTCAGCCGCGGCAGTCGCGACGTGCCGGTTCCCGTGCCCGTGGAATTGGGGCCACCGCCATCGCCACCACCACCACCACTCCCACCGCCACCGCCACCCCCACCCCCACCCCCACCGCCACCGCACCCTTCGATGACGCCCACTCCACCTTCACCGCCACTGCCACCACCGCCACCACCACCGCCACCACCACCCCCGCCTCCACCGCCACCTTTACCTCCACCACCACCTCCACCGCCACCCCCACCTCCACCGCCACCGCCACCGCCACCACCACCACCACCCCCACCGCCACCCCCACCGCCACCGCCACCACCACCACCACCACCGCCACCGCCACCTCCACCGCCACCACCACCACCACCGCCTCCGCCACCTCCACCGCCACCGCCACCGCCTCTTCCGCCCCCACCGCCACCTCCACCGCCACCGCCACCGCACCCTTCGATGACGCCCACTCCACCTTCACCGCCACCACCACCACCGCCACCACCGCCACCACCACCCCCGCCTCCACCGCCACCGCCACCTCCACCTCCACCACCACCTCCACCGCCACCGCCACCACCACCACCGCCCCCGCCACCGCCACCTCCACCGCCACCACCACCTCCACCACCACCACCACTACCACCGCCACCTCCACCGCCACCTCCACCGCCACCACCGCCACCGCCACCGCCACCACCACCACCACCACCACCACCCCCACCGCCACCCCCACCGCCACCCCCACCGCCACCGCCACCACCACCACCCCCACCGCCACCGCCCCCGCCACCGCCACCGCCACCACCACCACCCCCACCGCTACCACCACCTCCACCGCCACCACCACCTCCACCACCACCACCACTACCACCGCCACCTCCACCGCCACCTCCACCGCCACCACCACCGCCACCACCACCACCACCACCGCCACCCCCACCGCCACCTCCACCGCCACCGCCACCACCACCACCCCCACCGCCACCGCCCCCGCCACCGCCACCTCCACCGCCACCACCACCACCCCCACCGCCATCGCCACCTCCACCGCCACCACCACCACCCCCACCGCCTCCGCCACCTCCACCGCCACCTCCACCGCCACCGCCACCACCTCCACCGCCACCTCCACTGCCACCTCCACCGCCACCACCACCACCACCGCGCCCTTCACCGACGCCCACTCCACGTTCTCAAGATGGCGCTCGACGTCCTAAAGAACGTCCTCCGTGAACTCGCTCGACCCACATGGCCTCCCTCCCCTCGTCATCTCCCTTCCACGCACTCCTCTGTTTGGTCACGGAATGAGTGGAGAAGTGCAGTGCGTCTGTGCGTGTGCGTGTACACGCGTGCGTGCGTGTGCGTGCGTGCGTGTGCGTGTATACGCGTGCGTGCGTGCATGTGCGTGTACACGCGTGCGTGTGCGTGCGTGTGCGTGTACACGCGTGCGTGCGTGTGCGTGTGTGCGTGCGTGCGTGTGTGCGTGCGTGTGTGTGTACACGTGTGCGTGCATTCTTGTGCGTGTGCCACTTGCAGTTGTCTCCCCGGTAGTGCATAGCCAGTTTGCGCGTGCGACTGTCCACGTTGGTGGACAGCCGGTTTGCGCGTGTGTTTACATTCGCATGTGTCTCTGTGTGTGTGTGTCTTTGTGTGTGTCTCTGCGTGCGTGTGTCTCTGCGTGTGTCTCTGCGTGTGTCTCTGTGTGTGTCTCTGTGTGTGTCTCTGTGTGTGTCTCTGTGCGTGTGTCTGTGTGTCTCTGTGTGTGTGTCTGCGTGTGTCTCCGCGTGTGTCTCTGCGTGTGTCTCTGCGCGTGTCTCTGCGTGTGTCTCTGCGTGTCTCTGCGTGTCTCTGCGTGTGTCTCTGCGCGTGTCTCTGCGTGTGTCTCTGCGTGCGTCTGCGTGCGTCTCTGCGTGTGTCTCTGCGTGTGTCTCTGCGTGCGTCTCTGCGTGCGTCTCTGCGTGTGTCTCTGCGTGTGTCTCTGCGTGTGTCTCTGCGTGTGTCTCTGCGTGCGTCTCTGTGTGTGTCTCCGCGTGTGTCTCTGCGTGTGTCTCTGCGTGTGTCTCTGCGTGTGTCTCTGCATGCGTCTCTGTGTGTGTCTCTGTGCGTGTGTCTGTGCTGCGTCTCTGCGTGTGTCTCTGCGTGTGTCTCTGTGTCTCTGCGTGCGTCTCTGCGTGTGTCTCTGTGTGTGTCTCCATGTGTATCTCTGTGTGTGTCTCTGTGCGTGTGTCTGTGTGTCTGTGTGTCTCTGTGTGTGTCTCTGTGTGTGTCTCTGCGTGTGTCTCTGCGTGTGTCTCCGCGTGCGTGCAGCTGTCCCCGGTGGTGCACAGCCGGTTTGCGCGCAAGAAGGGGCTCCACCTGTCGCTGCTGGAGCGCCTCTACGAGCTCTACCCGCCGGCCTTCCCGTGCCGCGTGCTGCTCTGCGAGAACTACCGCTCGCACACCGACATCGTCAGGTAGCCGGCGCCCCGTGGCGCCCGCGATCGGCACCGCGGCTTGCCAGCGGGAGTTCGGCGCGCGGAGCGATCCTCCGCCGGCAACGGGTGGCGCGGCGACGGCGACGCTCGCGACTCGCGGCGGTGGTTACGTTGGAGCGCACATCGGTGTCTCTGTCTGTGTCTCTGTCTGTGTCTCTGTGTCTCTGTGTCTCTGTCGGTGTCTCTGTGTCTCTGTGTCTCTGTCTGTGTCTCTGTGTCTCTGTAGGTGTCTCTGTCGGTGTCTCTGTCGGTGTCTCTGTGTCTGTGTGTCTGTGTCTCGGTGTCTCTGTCGGAGTCTCTGTCGGAGTCTCTGTCGGTGTCTCTGTCTGTGTCTCTGTCTGTGTCTCTGTGTCTTTGTCGGTACCTCTGTGTCTCTGTCTGTGTCTCTGTCGGTGTCTCTGTGTCTCTGTCGGTGTCTCTGTCGGTGTCTCTGTGTCTCTGTGTCTCTGTCGGTGTCTCTGTGTCTCTGTGTCTGTGTCTCTGTCGGTGTCTCGGTGTCTCTGTCGGTGTCTCTGTGTCTCTGTCGGTGTCTCTGTGTCTCTGTGTCTCTGTCGGTGTCTCTGTGTCTCTGTCTGTGTGTCTGTGTCTCGGTGTCTCTGTGTCTCTGTGTCTCTGTCGGTGTCTCTTTGTCTCTGTGTCTCTGTCGGTGTCTCTGTGTCTCTGTCTGTGTGTCTGTGTCTGTGTCTCGGTGTCTCTGTGTCTCTGTGTCTCTGTCTGTGTCTCTGTCGGTGTCTCTGTGTCTCTATCGGTGTTTCTGTGTCTCTGTCGGTGTCTCTGTCTGTGTCTCTGTCGGTGTCTCTGTGTCTCTATCGGTGTCTCTGTGTCTCTGTGTCTCTGTCGGTGTCTCTGTGTCCCTGTCTGTCTCTGTGTGTGTCTCTGTGTGTGTCTCTGTGTGTGTCTCTGTGTCTCTGTCGGTTTCTCTGTGTCTCTGTCTGTGTCTCTGTGTCTCTGTCGGTGTCTCGGTCTCCCCTAGGTCGACTCAGCCTCAAATGAGTACCCGGTGCGGTGCGTAGTAAAACATCGCCACTGGAGAGACAAAGGCGGCCGGCCGTGGTGCTGGCCACCCACCCCCTCGTGTGCCACAGTGGCGGCCGGCACAGGCGCTGCTACTCGCTAACAGCACTTGCCCCAGCAGCCTGTTAAGGCTATACGGGGGATCTTTGTCTTTGCGTGTCCGGGGAGCGGCAGCGTAACAGCTGCCGCGCTCCGCTACAAAATCCGACGACCAGAGTTTCGATTCCCACTCGCGGTCGAGAATATTTGAAACCTGGGCCCTCCCCTAGGTCGACTCAGCCATGAGCGCGTACGGCGGCCGGGCGTGGTGTCGGTCATGCGCCTTGGAGGCCTTAGTTGGTGCTCGCTCACAAAACTTGTCCTGCGAAGGCTGTACGGAGGGTGGGGGTCTTTGTCTTTGCGTGCCGCGTGCATCCGAGACATTTCCATCTCGTGCGCCGCTGCTGCTCATTTGCACTGCGGGCTGCTCTTTGAACCGGGGCTGTGGGCCGGCGTGGCTTGATGGCGCTCGTGCGTGATGGATGGGGCGAGCCTTTGAAAAGATTATTCTCGTTCTTTCCGCTGGCAGCGTCGCGGAATTAAATGTCAGCAAACGAACGGGGGGGGGGGGGGGGGGCGGGCGGGCCGGGAGGGGGGAGGGCACCTTCGTCGCGAAAGTGAAAGAGCGACGCGTGAAATGCAAGGGAGGTTCTTTTTTAGTTTTTACCGCCGTTTCGGCTGTGGGCACGCGAGCTCGCGAGCGGTCGGCAAACGGGTGACATCACCGCGGCAAGGGGGAACGGGGGGGGGGGGGGGGGCGTCACGCGGGTCTCCGACGGCGCGTTGGCGACACCCGTGCCGAACCGGGGATGCTTGTTCCTGCCCGGTTAGACTCCCGACTCGGGGGGGGGGGGGGGGGGAGGTGTGATTGGCACGACGCTCGAGATGGAAAAACCAGGACCATCAATTCCCTTGCGTCCGATTCCCGCCTTTCGCCGATACTCCTCCTCCTGCTGCTGTTCCTCCTCTTCCTCCTCCTCATCTGTCGTCGTCGTCTTCGTCCTGATGTTGCGGTCGGAGTTCACGGTGACCTTCACCTCCCCGCCGGGGAGGAGGAGGAGGGTTACACGGCGGCAGCTTGGGCCATGTCGTCTGCGTGCGCCAAATAAAACGAAACGATGAAAACTTTATTTCAAATGTTACCCAGGTCAGGGCCCACTGAGCTGTATGTTATAGCTCAGGGGTCGGGAACCTTTTTGACTGGGAGAGCCATAAAAGCCAAATATTTCTAAATATATTTCATTGAGAGCCATATAGTAATTTTAACGTATAATAAATTAAATATGTCTTACTTTTAATGCGACTTCTGGTGCTGCATGGTTTTGCTGATGGCCTTGTAGTCTGGTTCGTACGTGGTGAGGTTGAGCTTCGTGCAGGCATTGAGGCCCCGTGAAATTTATCTTCAAAACTAATTTCTGTTTACTTTAAAATGGCACAGTATTATTAAACAATATCACAAGTATTTTAAAATCAGTTCCAAACTGATTTTTTATTTTTTTATTATTTTTTTTTCAACTCAAAATTGTCTGGGAGCCATATGCCGTAACTGGAAGAGCCATATATGGCTCGCGAGCCATAGGTTCCCGACCGCTGTTATAGCTCCTTTACAGAAGCGACCTGGCCACTCACGAATGATCGCCTCACGAAGTCGAGGCTTGTCATCACCACGTGGACATTTGCAGCAGCGGCCAAATTCTCCAAATGCACTTTGATTGTAAATGTGGAGCGGGAAAAAACCGGAGGTCCCGGAGAAAATTCCACGCGAGCCCCGGGGAAAGAGAGAGAGAGGGAGAGACACACAAACTCCAAATATAGAGCAAGCGTCAGGGTGCGGAACGAACCCACGACCTCCTGCATACATGGTGAGGTAGTTAACATCTCATAGCTACTATTGCACCCATTTTCATGGTAGAAGGGCTGTAGTTGCTGATGATCACTAATTGGAGCAAAGTTCAAATATGCATTCTAGATTTGAAGCTTTCGTGACTGCAAGGATTCATATTAGGTTTTTTCGGTAAAGTCACGTGACTTTACCGAAAAAACCTAAGAATTCAAATATGCAGCAGGCATCAGCGTCATTATTGAACTGACGATCTCCTGCACACCAGGCGAGGTAGTCAACATCCCCCAGCCACCGTGGCGCCCGTTCTCGCGGGACGACGTCGGGCGGTTCGCGGATGTGACGCCTCCACCCCACCGTCGCGCTCGACGCTAACGACGGCAACACAAACGTCGTGGTTTTGAAGTTTTTGTTGTTGATCTGGCCGCCCCGCAGCCTCACGTCGGAGCTGTTCTACGAGGGGAAGCTGGCGGCCAGCGGGCGTCAGCCGGCGCACGGCGAGCTGCAGCCGCTGGCGTTCTACACGGCGCGCGGGGAGGCGGTGCAGGACAAGAACAGCACCGCCTTCTACAACAACGCCGAGGCAAGGCACACGGCCCTCCCGCCCGCTAGGCAGGGGGGTGGTGGCGGTGGTGGGGGTGGTGGTGGTGATTGTGGTGGTGGGGATTGTGGTGGTGGGAATCGTGGTGGTGGTGGTGGGGGTGGTGGTGGTGATTGTGGTGGTGGTGATTGTGGTGGTGGGGATCGTGGTGGTGGTAGGGATTGTGGTGGTGGTGTTGATCGTGGTGGTGGTGGGGATTGTGGTGGTGGTGATCGTGGTGGTGGTGGGGATTTTGGTGGTGGTGTTGATTGTGGTGGTGGTGGGATTGTGGTGGTGGTGGTGGGATTGTGGTGGTGGTGGTGGTGATCTTGGTGGTGGTTGAGATCGTGGTAGTGGTGGTGGTGGTGATCGTGGTGGTGGTGGCGATCGTGGTGGGTCTTGGTGGTGATGATTGTGGGGATTGTGATGGTGATCGTGGTGGTGGAGATTGTGGTGGTGGTGGTGATCGTGGTGGTGGTGGTGATCTTGGTGGCGATCGCGGTGGGGAAGCGTTGTCGCAGCAGTCGGAGCGCTGCGCTGTGAACCCGGCGACCCGACTTCGATTCCCGCTCACGGCCAACGACGGTGATGAATATCTGAACCGGTCCCGGGCCTCCCCTACGTAGACTCGGCCTCAAACCATTCCCTGGCGCGGTGTGTAAACATCGCTAGCACTGGGGAGACAAAGGCGGCCGGGCGTGGTGCTGGCCACCCACCCCCTCGTGTGTGCCGTGCCGGCCTTCATAGGCGCCGCTCGCTAACAGCACTTGCCCCAAGAGGGGGATGTTTAAGGGGGGTTATTTGTCTTCTTGGTTCTTTCGGTAAAGTCACGTAGAATGGAAACAATGAAAATAATAAAATAAAACATAATAAAAGAATTCTCAAGACGTTTCGGCCACAACGCAAGCAGCCGTCATCAGGTGAAGACCAGGTCTGTCGAGGAGACAGCGTCTGAATGAAACACCACAATGCTTGGAGCGTATATTTAAGCTGGGTTGGAAGGGGGGGGGAGGGCGCCTTGACAAAATAATTTGCATATCAAGAGGAATTTAGCATATTTATGGGCATATTTATGGGAAATGCAGGTATGTGATTAGTACTACTTATGCCCGTGCATTATGCAGGGCTGATGAAGGTGATGGTATAAAGGTGGCAGCCGTCGCTGGGGGCGGCTGTCGTAGCCGGGGCGGACTGTCGTAGCCGCAGAGCGCAACACCCCATTGGAGGGGGCTATTCTTGGCTGCCCCCCTAAAGCCGCGCTCGCGTCAACGACGCCGGCAAGAAGCGGACGCGACGCTGACGCCGCGTCTCGGAAAAAAATCTGATTGATTTCCCCCCCCCCTCCCCCCCCCCGCTCTGCGCGTTAGCTCCCGTCGCCTCCCGGCGTGATTGCGGACTGCGATCGCTCCCCCGCGTCTCCCTCTCCGCTTCGCTCCCCTCGGCTCGCTAGCGCGGCGCACCCCTTCACCTCGGGGTTTGATTCCGCTGTTCGATTACTTTTCTCGGGTTTCAGATCGCGCGAGTTGGATGTTTTTTGTCGTGAACTCCCCCTCCCCCTCCTCCTCCGCCTCCCCCTCCCCCCCCCCCCCCCTCCTCCTCCCCGCTCCCCCCGTCCCCCCTCCGCTCTTCCACCCGACACGGGCGATTTTAATGAAGGCGGCGGCGCCACCGTCACCGTCGTCGTTGTTGGAAAGCGATGCAACGCACGGCACCGGCGATGACGCCGGTCGCCGTGAAAGCCGCGACCGCGTTCAGTCGCGGAGCCCCTCGGCACCCGTCGCGATCGCCGATCTCCCTCCCGTGACGGACTCACGTCAACTTCCGCGCCGGGAAGATCGGATCAAAGCACAGGCGCCACGGTGGCTAGGAGATGTTAACTACCTCACCTGGTATGCAGGAGGTCGTGGGTTCAATCCCGACCTTGACTCCTGCTGCTGTATATTTGTAGTTTCCGTGTCTCTCTCTCATCGTCATCACGGTGGCTAGGAGATGTTAACTACCTCGCCTGGTGTACAGGAGGTCGTGGGTTCGATCACGACCTTGACTCCTGCTGCTGTATATTTGGAGTTTGCGTCTCTCTCTCCCTCCCCGCGGTCACGTGGATTTTTGTCCGGGTCCTCCGTTTTTTCCCCTTCACATTTAGAACCGAACGTGCGTTCAGGGTTATTTGTCCGCGATACGTTTCCACGTGATGATGATGATAATGGGCCACTTCGTTGGGGCTAGCATTTGTTCCGGCCCAGGTCGCTTCTGAATAAGTGCCACTCCATAGCCCAGTGGGCTTTCCCTGGGTAAGATAAAAAGTTTTTAGTTGAAACCCCCATCGACCTCTGAATCGCAAGTCCGGCACGTACCGTGCAGACGTTTAAATAACGAACGCCGTCGCCCGCTAATTGCATTCTGGCCTAATCCCCCCCCTCCCCACCCCTCCCCACCCCTCCCCACCCCTCCCACCTTCCGCGCGTCCCACCATGACGGGGCGACCCACTCTGCCAAGACGCATCGCGCTCGCCCGTAAACACGTCGGCTTCATTAACATGTTTACGGTGGCAGCGGTGAGCTTAAGTGCACTCCGCCTTGACATTGCGTGGGCGGTGACGGAGCGGCAAATTAATGGTTTGGGAACGGGCCGGGCGAGAGAGAGAGCAGCCCGGCGGACACGAGAGCTGTGAGGTGGTGGTGGGGGGGGAGGAGGCTCCTAAACCTGCCACTATCCGGGGCTGACTCGCCCGCCCGCTCGCCCGCCCGCTCGCTCAACAAAGCGATGGCCTCTCAAAGGACGGCTCGGCTCAATGGCTTCTCAGTTTGTTTGTTCATGCTCCCCGTCCGCTTCAGCGATGTTTTAATTTTACTTCTTGGTTCTTTCGGTAAAGTCACGTAGAACGGAAATAATAAAATAATAATAAAATATAATAAAATAATATAATGAAATAACATATTATGTTTTATTTTTATTATTATTCTTATTTTATTATTTCCATTCTACGTGATGACTTTACCGAAAGAACCAAGAAGATGAATCCCTGCAGTCACGAAAGCTTTAAATCGAAGTTTTAATTTTTGGATAATCACCCTCCCTCGCCGCCGCCGCCGCGACGGTGTGCCGCTCGTGTGTCGCGATTCACACCGGAGGAATCCGATGAGCTATTAAGCTCTTTTTCACAGATGTATCCGGGTTCAGCGCGGTGGGCTAGATATGCCCGGGGGGAGGCGGGGTATCTGAGTAGTCTGTGTGTCTCCGCGTGGGTCTCTGTGTGAGGAATCTATAGATCTGTGTGAGTCTATGGGTCTCTGTGTGAGGAGTCTATAGATCTGTGTGAGTCTATGGGTCTCTGTGTGAGGAGTCTAAGGGTCTCTGTGTGAGGAGTCTGGGTCTCTGTGTGAGGAATCTATAGGTCTGTGTGAGTCTATGGGTCTCTGTGTGAGTCTGGGTCTCTGTGTGTCTCTTTGTGGGTCTCTGTGTGAAGAATTTATAGGTCTGTGTGAGTCTGGGTCTCTGTGTGAGTCTGGGTCTCTGTGTGTCTCTTTGTGGGTCTCTGTGTGAGGAATCTATAAGTCTGTGTGAGTCTGGGTCTCTGTGTGAGTCTGGGTCTCTGTGTGTCTCTTTGTGGGTCTCTGTGTGAAGAATCTATAGGTCTGTGTGAGTCTGGGTCTCTGTGTGAATCTGGGTCTCTGTGGTAGTCTATGGGTCTCTGTGTGTGCCTATGGGTCTCTGTGTGAGTCTGGGTCTCTGTGTGAGTCTGTGGGTCTCTGCGTGAGTCTGTAGGTCTCTGTGTGAATCTGGGTCTCTGTGTAGTCTGTGGGTCTCTGTGGTAGTCTATGGGTCTCTGTGTGTGCCTATGGGTCTCTGTGTGAGTCTGGGTCTCTGTGTGAGTCTGTGGGTCTCTGTGTAGTCTGTGGGTCTCTGTGTGAGGAGTCTATGGGTCTCTGCGTGATGCCTTTTGGGTCTCTGTGTGAGGAATCTATGGGTCTGTGTGAGTCTATGGGTCTCTCTGTGTGCTTATGGGTCTCTGTGTGAGGAGTCTGGGTCTCTGTGTGAGTATGGGTCTCTGTGTGAGGAGTCTATGGGTCTCTGTGTGTGCCTATGGGTCTCTCTGTGAGGTGTCTATGGGTTTCTGTGTGTGAAGTCTGTGGGTCTCTGTGTGAGGAATCTATATGTCTGTGTGAATCTGGGTCTCTGTGTGAGTCTGGGTCTCTGTGTGAATCTATGGGTCTCTGTGTAGTTTGTGGGTCTCTTTGTGAGTCTATGGGTCCATGTGTGAGGAGTCTATGGGTCTCTGCGCGGGAAGTCGGTGGGTCTCTGTGTGTGCGAATCTGTGGGGTATCGGTGCTCCAATGCTACGCTTGAGGACCTGGTCTAATCGCTGTGGTTGGGTGGCTGGCACCTGCCTTCGAACCCCGGTCCTCAGCGGGACCCGGCACAACCCTTTGGCTTTCCGAGCAGCTCGGCCACCTCGACACGACCCCACGGAGGTGGAGCAATGGGGTCGACCTCCCACCATCAACGCCATCAACACCACCAAAGACTAAAGATCCCCACGTGTAGCCTTAACAGAGTGTAGGGGCAAGTGCTGTTAGCGAGCACCTATGAAGGCCGGCACTGTGGCGCACGAGGGGGTGGGTGGCCAGCACCACGCCCCGACCGCCTTTGTCTCCCCAGTGCCGATGTTTACACACCGCACCAGGTACTCATTTGAGGTTGAGTCGACCTAGGGGTGGCCCAGGTACCGGTTCAGATAATCGTCACCGGTGTTGACCGTGAGCGGGAATCGAACTCGGGGCGCCGGATTCGGAGTGCAGCGCTGACCGCTACGCTACCACTCCTCACGAGCACCACCAACAGCGCCACCAACAGCGCCACCAACAGCACCACCAACACCGCCACCAACAGCGCCACCAACAGCGCCACCAACAGCACCACCAACAGCACCACCAACAGCGCCACCAACAGCATCACCAACAGCGCCACCAACAGCATCACCAACAGCGCCACCAACACCACCACCAACAGCGCCACCAACACCACCACCAACAGCGCCACCAACAGCACCACTAACAGCACCACCAACAGCGCCACCAACACCACCACCAACAGCGCCACCAACAGCATCACCAACAGCGCCACCAACAGCACCACCAACAGCACCACCAACAGCGCCACCAACAGCGCCACCAACAGCGCCACCAACAGCGCCACCAACAGCACCACCAACAGCACCACCAACAGCGCCACCAACACCACCACCAACAGCGCCACCAACAGCGCCACCAACAGCGCCACCAACAGCACCACCAACAACCGCCATTTGCCACTAAGTGGCGGTGACGTCACCACGACGCTTGTGCCAGGCCATGTGCACCTTGAGGCTACCACTTGAAGTGTCGAACGCCCGCTGGCAGGAGGTCACGGGGCAGACCCAGCAGGTGCCACAGGTCGACTGACTGAGATGACCGAGATGACTGGCTGATGCACCACCTGTGCCCCCTACTGTGCCAACTTGTTGTGCTTTAGCCACCCGGCGCTTCGCTCGTTGTTGTGAGCGTTGTTGTTGGAGGGCGACTGCCTCCAACTGCCCAGTAGCGTCCTTCACGAGCCTCCTCCACAGAGGCCGATCTTGACACCACCAATAGCACCACCAACAGCACCACCAACAGCACCACCACCAGCACCAACATCCATCATCACGATGACCAACAGGAACTGCGCCGCCAGCAGGATTGTCGTTAACCTTGTCTCTGTGTGTGCGTCTCTGCGTGTGTGTGTCTCTGTGTGTGTGTGCGTCTCTGTGTGTGCGTGTCTCTGTGCGTGTCTCTGCGTGTGCGTCTCTGTGTGCGTGTGCGTCTCTGTGTGCGTCTCTGCGTGTGTGTGTCTCTGTGTGTGTGCGTCTCTGCGTGTGTGTGTGCGTCTCTGCGTGTGTGTCTCTGTGTGTGTGCGTCTCTGTGTGAGTGTGTGCGTCTCTGTGTGTGCGTGTCTCTGTGTGTATGCGTCTCTGTGTGTGTGTGTGTGCGTCTCTGCGTGTGTGCATCTCTGCGTCCCTGCGTTGCGTGCGTGTGTGCGTGCGTCTGTGTGTGTCTGTGCGTGCGTCTGTGTGTGTGTGCGTCTGCGTGCGTCTGTGCGTGCGTCTGTGCGTGCGTCTGTGCGTGCGTCTGTGTGTGTCTGTGCCTGCGTGCGTCTGTGCGTGCGTCTGTGCGTGCGTCTGTGCGTGCGTGCGTGTGTGCGTGTGTGCGTGTGCGTGTGGCAGGTGTTTGAGCTGGTGGAGCGCGTGGAGGAGGTGTGCCGCAAGTGGCCCGTGGCGTGGGGGAAGCTGGGCGAGGGCAGCGTGGGGGTCGTGACCCCGTACGCTGACCAGGTGTTCCGCATCCGCTCGCAGCTGCGCAAGAAGCGGCTGTACGACGTCAGCGTCGAGCGCGTCCTCAACGTGCAAGGTGGGTGCGGCGACGGCCTCGCGGTCGTCGCGGCGACGTCCTCGTGGTCGTCGCGGCGACGGTTTCGTGGTCGTCGCGGCGACGGCCTCGCGGTCGTCGCGGCGACGGCCTCGTGGTCGTCGCGGCGACGTCCTCGTGGTCGTCGTGGCGACGGTTTCGTGGTCGTCGCGGCGACGGCCTCGCGGTCGTCGCGGCGACAAGGGTCCCAGGTCCGACTCCCGACTCGAATCTCCTTCTGCGCGTAGTTTTTGCGTTGTCTTTTGCCGTTATTCTCTGGTCTGACTGACGCTGGTGGTGAGACTCGGCCATACAGAAGGTTGTCTCTGGCGTAGACCAGTCGGTTTCCAAGACGATGCATCATACGTCATTGTCAGGGCGCGTTTGTGTGCATGTTTACTAAAAGTGCCGTGTTAGCGGTTAACGCAGGAACTTGCAAAAAGCTATTTATTTGGTGTTTGAACATCTTAACACAACTCTAGAAAGGATAAAGCCTATTCTTATTGTACACCGTGCGTGAGTGAGTGAGGGAGCGGTGGTGCAGGGGTTGGCGTGCTGCGCTGCGAACCTGGCGACCCGAGTTCGGTCCCTGTTCACGGCCTACACCGGTGACTGTTATTTTACCTCTTCTTGGTTCTTTCGGTAAAGTCACGTAGAAGGGAAGTAATAAAATAATAAAAATAAAACATAATAAAACAATTCTCACGACGTTTCGGCCACAACGCAAGCAGCCGTCCTCAGGTGAAAACCAGGTCCGTCGAGGCGACAGAGTCTGAATGAAACAGCACACGAGCTTGGAGCATATATATAAGCTGGGCGCATTGACAAAGGAATTTGCATATCAAAAGGAATTTAGCATATTTATGGGAAATGCAGGAATGTGATTAGTACTGCATATGCATGTGCATTATGCAGGATTAACAGCATCAAAGGGAGCTGCAGTTACTGCTGCTGCAGCAGTTGCTGCTGCAGTTTCTGCTGCTGCTGCAGTTGCTGCTGCTGCTGCAGTTGCTGCTGCTGCTGCACTTGCTGCTGCTGCTGCACTTGCTGCTGCTGCTGCACTTGCTGCTGCTGCTGCACTTGCTGCCTTATTCATTTTAATATAACACTATGTATTATTCTACCCACCCTAATGTGTATCATACTGCTATATGTTTACTGTACAATTACGACACCATACATTACTCTGCACACTGCACCATGCCAGTGAGTGGAACGTGGTCTGAAAGTCACCGTAAACGTGAACACAATCAGTTAAGATCCGAAATGGTTTATTACGTCCTTCCAATGATTGCTAAGCCATAATGATAAAAAGAGGGCCTGTCCCTGGCTCCTATCCCCTCAACCTGTCTATATACGGGGTAGGATCTCTTGGAATTTCTCATTTACTTGATACAGCTATCGTGCTGTGACGGTTCCACCTGAAGACGGAAGCTTGTGTTGCCTCCGAAACGTGATTTTTATTTTATTTTTATTTTATTTTACTTTTAATTAAAATGTTTTACCTACGTGACTTTACCGAAAAAACCCAAGAATATGACTGTCATCTTCACAAGTCCCGGGGCCCTCCCATAGGTTGGCTCGGCCTGATCCGCGTACCCGGTGCGATGTGTAATCATCGCCACTGGGGAGACAAAGGCGGCCGGGCGTTCTACCGGCCACCCACCCCCTCGTGCGCCGTGCCGAAATTCCTCGGCGCTTGCCCCGACAGTCCTGGCTCTACATGGGATCTTTGCCTCTTGCGCGCGCTCGCAGGCAAGCAGTTCCGCGTGCTCTTCCTGAGCACGGTACGCACGCGGCACACGCGGCGCCACGGCACGGACACCGGCTCCGTCGCCGTCGCGCCGGCGCTCGCCGTCACGGCGACGGGGGAGGGCGCCGCCGCTTCCGCCGAGCAGTGCCGGGACCCGCTGGACGACCTGGACCTGGGCTTCCTGTCCGACCCCAAGCTGCTCAACACGGCCATCACGCGGGCACAGTCGCTCCTCGCCGTCGTGGGCGACCCCGTGGCGCTCTGCTCGCTCGGGAAGTGCAGGTAATGGCCCCCCCTCCCCCGGCGGAGGATGATGGTGGTGGTGGTGGTGATGGCGGTGGTGGCGGTGGGTGATGAGGTTGGTGGCGGTGGTGGTGGCGGTGGTGGCGGTGGTGCTGATGATGATGATGCTGCTGGTGGTGCCGGTGATGGTACTGGTCGTGAGAGTCGTGGTGAAGGTGCTGGTGATGGTGGGTGGCGGCGATGATGAAAGTCGTGGTGGTGGCGGTGGTGGCGGTGGTGGTGGCGGTGGTGGTGGTGGTGGCGGTGATGGCGGTGGTGGTGGCGGTGGTGGCGGTGGTGCTGATGATGATGATGCTGCTGGTGGTGCCGGTGATGGTACTGGTCGTGTGAGTCGTGGTGAAGGTGCTGGTGATGGTGGGTGGCGGCGATGATGAATGTCGTGGTGGTGGTGGTGGCGGTGATGATGAAAGTCGTGGTGGTGGTGGTGGATGCTGGTGAGAGTGACGGTGAACAGCGGGTGGTGCTGGTTGCCGGTGGGGTGACGGCGCTGCTGGCTGAAGGGGTTCTGACGGGGCTTTGGGGTTGATGGCGGGGGGGGGGGGGGGGCGCTGGTGGTACCGGCGGTATTATCGGCGATATTTCCACAACGCAGAGTTTTTCAGGAACACAACTACCCCACCGTGTAGTCGGTGATGTTGGTGGCAAGGTCAGAATTCCGTGTCCATAATAGGGGGGGGGGGGGGGGGGGGCGGCACGGGTTAAGAGCGTTCCAACAACAAGCAGCAGTACAAACCACGATAGTAGTGCGGCAGAGTACGACAAAGGCAAACGAATCGCACCAACGCACACAAATAACAACACGAAACCATTCCCATCCTACCAGGCGAAACCCACGACATTTCTCAGAAGCGGCCTGCCCGCAGACGATCGCTCAACAAAGTGGGCCCCGTCGTTTGGACACGCGGTCGGGCCAACGGGTTGCTGAGTTAAATTTCGATTTAAAGCTTCTTTCGTGACTGCAGGGATTCATCTTCTTGGTTCTTTTGGTAAAGTCACGTAGAAGGGAAATAATAAAATAATAAAAATAAAACATAATAAAAGAATATAATAAAATAACGCGATAAAATAAAATAATTAAATAATTGGTCTGTGTTCTGGAAGAATATCGTGTAATAATATAATAAAATAATAGAATAACATCATTTAATAAAATAATACTTTCATTTTTCGATTTAAAGCTTTCGTGACTGCAGGGATTCATCTTCTTGGTTCTTTCGGTAAAGTCACGTAGAAGGGAAGTAATAAAATAATAAAAATAAAACATAATAAAATACAATTCTCACGACGTTTCGGCCACAACGCAAGCAGCCGTCCTCAGGTGAAGACCAGGTCTGTCGGGGAGACAGCGTCTGAATGCAGCCGTCCTCAGGTGAATACCAGGTCTGTCGAGGAGACAGCGTCTGAGCGTCTGCCACTCCCCCCCCTCCACTCCCCCCCCCTCCACCACCGTCACCACCACCACCACCACCACGTTCCATCGCCGGCGGCAGGAAGCTGTGGGAGCGCTTCATCGGCGCGTGCCACGACAGCGGCAGCCTGCAGGGCACCACGCTGGAGCAGATCCGCGCGGAGCTGGACGGCGTGGAGCTCAAGAAGTCGTACGTGCTCAACCCGCTCGCGCCCGAGTTCGTGCCGCGGGCGCTGCGGGCCGCCGCCGCCGCCGCGGCCGCCACTTACTTCCCCTCCTCGCCCTCCGCCGGGAGCGGTGGCGGCGGTGGAGGAGGAGGTGGTGGAGGAGGAGGTGGAGGAGGTGGAGGAGGTGGAGGAGGAGGTCAGCACGCGTGGGAGCAGCTGCACGGAGGACTGCCCGACGTGATCACGCACAAGCCGCACTCGCCCTCACAGGTGCCGCCCCCGTGCCCACTTCCTCCCCCTCCTCCTCTTCCTCTTCCAACGCCTCCTGCTCCTCCTGACCTCCTCATCCTTCTCCCACTCCTCCTCCTCCCACTCGTACCTCCTGATCCTCCGCATCCTCCTTCCACTCCTCATCCTCTTCATTCTCCTATCCTCCTGTTCCTCCTCTCCTCTTACAAATCCTCCTCCTCCTGACCTCCTCATCCTCCTCATCCTCTTCCAACTCCTCCTGCTCCTTCTCATCCTCCTCCCACTCCGCATCCTCCTCCCACTCCTCCCACTCCTCATTCTCCCACTCCTCCTCCTGAACTCCTCATCCTCCTCCCATTCCTTCTCCTCTTCATCCTCCTCCCACTCGTACCCCCTCATTCTCCGCATCCTCCTCCCACTCCTCCTCATCCGCCTTGCCGCCGCCGCTCGGCGATTCTGTCTTGTGCGCCGTGCGTTGACGCGGCGACGTGTCCCGGTGGCCGCCTGGCCTGGCCGCCTACGTTGCGATGGTAGGTAAGACGTGGCCCGCTGGCTCGGAGGTCAGAGACGCTCGCTCGCCTCCGCTGAGATCCCGGGTTTAGAATCCAGGTTGCAGCCGCCCGAGGTCAAGTTGGGTTCTTCACGTGCAGTGAGTTGATGGTTTTGGCGCGGTCACCTGTGACTCGCGCAGAGAGCCGTACGTTCTCACAGAGACATATAGAAACCCGTAGACTCACGTAGACACAAATAGACTCACAGAGAGACCCGTAGACTCACATAGAGACCCGTAGACTCACATAGAGACCTGTAGACTCACATAGAGACCTGTAGACTCACATAGAGACACCAGTAGACTCACATAGACACCAATAGACTCACATAGAGACCCGTAGACTCACATAGAGACACCAGTAGACTCGTGTAGAGACCTGGAGACTCACATAGAGACCCGTAGACTCACATAGAGACCCACAGACTCACGTAGACACCAATAGACTCACATAGAGACCCGTAGACTCACATAGACACTAATAGACTCACATAGAGACCCGTAGACTCACGTAGACCCGTAGACTCACGTAGACACCAATACTCGCATAGAGACCCGTAGACTCGCATAGAGACACGTAGATACACACACAGACACCCGTAGTCTCACATAGACACCAATAGACGCAAAGAGACCTGTAGACTCACATAGAGACCCGTAGATACACGTAAGACCGAATTCAAAGGGGTCTCGGGGGTAGCTCCGGGAGATCCGCTTCCGTGGGACGTTCTGGAGCGCAGAAGCTTTGCGAACGCTCCGCGAGATCTGAAGCAGACGGTCCATCTCGTCGCCGGCTCCGGCGGTTGGCAAAGTTCGGATGGAAATGGGCAACGGCTTCCCGGTGAACCTGGACCGGGGCGGGAGGGGGGGGGTGGGAGGGGGTGGGACGGTGGGGACGTTGGGGGGGGGGGGGTGGGGGGGGGCACGTGAGGTCAGCGGCAGAGGTCGCAAACGGGTTTTGATTCCGTACCCGTACCCGGCCGCACCAGGGTCGCAAACGGGTACCCGTACCCGGCCGGGTACGGGTAGCCGGGTATCGGGTAGGGTACGGGTATCGGGTACCCGGTTGCAACCTCTGGGAAGCGATGGGTCCTTGATGAAATCTCAGCTCGGATGCAAATGGTCCTTTACCCGGCGGATCGACCCTCGCCCGGGGGGGTCCCTCCCTCCCCAAGACGCCCGCCGCCGCATCCCCGTGGCGTTGAGGCCCGTCTCCCTCCGTACTGACGTGGGGCCGGGCCCCCGGGGGATCGGCCCCCCCCCCCATCCTCGCCTGCGCTTGCGGAGACTGAGCGAGATTGGGGGGGATGGGGGCGTAGTGATGGAGAAGAGGCCTTTGGCAGTGGTTGCGAGGAGTCGTCAAAGTTATTCAGTTCAGTTCATGTATTAGGTGTGACCCTTACACCATTGCCAGTAAAAAATATGATAATTGTTTTTTTACCCTTCTATCTGGCAACACAACTGACTGTCTCGGGTGTGGACCAATCAACTTCAGGGACAGTGCACATTATCAGAGTTATGTTTCTGTTTGCATTATGACTGCAGGTATTGTGGTCTATGCAAACATGACTCCTTGTAAAAAAGGTGTCAGTTTTGTTGCCAGATGGAAGGGTAAAAAATAATTATCAGGTATGGCCCTGTGAGCCATGCGGCTCTTGACTCGGGTGCAACCGCAACAAACAAAAAACATGAACAAGAAACGTCTTAAAGTGACTAAGCGCATACTCTTAGGTTTTTTCGGTCAAGTCACGTAGATAAAAATAAATAATAAAAATAATAGATATAAAATAATAATTCGGAGGCTACACAAGTCTCCGTCATCAGGTGGGACCGTCACAGCCAGATTTACTGTATCAACTTTGATATGATTTAAATTTTTATTTTTTACCTACGTGACTTTACCGAAACAACCTAAGAGTATGAATCCTTGCAGTCACGAAAGCTTCAAATCTAGAATGACTACGCACGATAGAAAAATCCTGGAAAAAACAGCAAAGTCTTCCAGAAAAAGCACCGTTTATCAACGCTGTGTGCAAAAATCCCAGTGAGATGCAAGTCAAACAATAACAACCATAAGACAATTTAGATTAAAGTTATCAGGCTAACTGTACTACAATATGGCTAAACCAAAACGTTTTCGAAATCGCCAAAAATAAAGCGACAAAAACAACGTAACAGTGATCATAGGAACTGTGATTGAAATTTAACAATAAGCGATGTAATAAACGATGTACGTGAAATGTCGTCTCGTTTGGTGAGGAGGGAGCCCCGGGGTGGCTCGGGAGGTCAGGAGGGTCAGAGACGCAGAGCCCGGCACCGCTGAGGGTCTGGGTTCGAATCCAGGTATCATGGAGACCCGTACACAGAAACCCATACATTCCCATAGAGACCCGTATACTCGCACAGAGCCCCCCCCATACGTTGCCATAGATCCCGATAGCGTCGCACAGACTGGGTTGTGATTGAACTGCGTTCTCTAGCGTGGTGAGTTAAGGGTCCCAGGCCAGTCACCGCTTGGTACACACGGGAAGAACGTGTGCTTACGATCGGACGTAGGATGGAGAGTCTTGAGCGAAACATAATGTGATCGCAAATCGAATATCGGAAATGCACGTCGGAGGCTTAATTAGCTAAATCACGACGTTTCGATCGCAACACAAGCGATCGTCCTCAGGCGGGAAAAATTAATCCAGCAGTGGAACTGCTGAACCACGTGACTTTACCGAAAGAATCAGAGTGTAGGGATTCCTGCAGTCACGAAAGCTTCAAATCAAAGTCGCTTAATTAGCTCTTTCGTCTCAAATTGGTGCTAGAGGCTCAAAAGAAAGCTGTCTCTGGTGTGGACCAATCAGCTTCAAGGACAATGCATATAATATTATAGTGCGTTTTTTGTTTGCATTTTGACCACAAGTATTGTGGTTAATGCAGACGCGATTCCTTGTAAAAAGGTTTTAGTTTTGTTGCCAGAAAAAAGGGGAAAAACCCTACTTTTGTAATAGTAATAGGTTTTTACCCTTTCAACTGGTACAACAACTGACACCTTTATACAAGGAATCATGTTTGCAATAACCACAACACAAGCAGTCAAAATGCAAACAAAAAGAAACAACTCTGATGATGATAATGATATGCACTGTCCTTGAAGTTGATTTGTCCACACCCGAGACAGCTTTTCTTAGAGCCTAGTCTCCATTGGTGTTGGATCAGATGACGCCAAAAGGCGTACAACTCAAAGACAGCGCACCATCAGAGTATTGAGAGCTCGGGGTAAGCATTTACGCTATGAGACCTTCTTTACCAGTGGCAAAATATAGTGATAGGTTTTTACCCTTTCAACTGGTATAAAAACTGACACCTTTATATTATCAGAGTTGTTTCTTTTTGTTTGCATTTTGACTGCTTGTGTTGTGGTTATTGCAAACATGATGCCTTGTATAAAGGTGTCAGTTTTTCGATTTAAAGCTTTCGTGACTGCAGGGATTCATCTTCTTGTTTTATTTTTATTATTTTATTACTTCCCTTCTACGTGACTTTACCGAAAAAACCAAGAAGGTGTCAGTTTTTGTACCAGTTGAAAGGGAAATCACTTGATGCAGCTAATCTGGCTGTGACAGTTTCACCTGATGACGGAGACTTGTGTTGCCTCCGAAACGTCGTGATTTTAATTATTTTATTTTTATTAATTTTAAGTTCATTTTTTACCTACGTGACTTTACCGAAAAGAGTATGAATCCTTGCACTCACGAAAGTTTCAAATCTAGAAAGGATAAAACCTATTACTATATTATTGCCACTGGTAAAGGAGGTCTCACAGTGTAAACTCTACCATTGTTGTTGTTGTTTTAAGTTGCCCAATTAAAGGGCTTCGTCCCCGCTTGTGCGGGCCGTCTCCCCGCTGATAACAGAGGCGCGGCAATACCAGCAGCTCCCTCTTTAAAAAAAAAAAACTTCACGGCTCCGTGATTACAAATTGCCGGGCGCTCGCAAAGCGATGACGGACTGACGCTGCAGATTTCTGCGCGAATGTCTGTGCGTGCATGCGTGGTGGTGAATGTGTGAATATTAATGTGTGCCCGGCTGTGGTGCGGGGAGCGGCGGTGGCGTTAGCGATCGGCGCGCTGCGCTCTGCGCCGCGAACCCGGCGACCCGAGTTCGATTCCCGCTCGTCGGCCGCGAATATCTGAACCGGTCCCGAGCCTTTCCCCAGCTAGCGTCTGATGCGCTGTGTGAACATCGCCACTGGGGAGACAAAGGCGGCCGGGCGTGGTGCTGGCCACCCACCCCCTCGTGTGCCTTGCTGACCTTCATAGGCGCTCGCTCACAGCACTTGCCCCTACAGTCTGTTAAGTCTTTAAGTCCATCCATCCTACGTGTTAAAG